GAATTTTTTTTTAATAATTTTAACTGACCAGGAAGAGTTTTATTTTCCTGAAGACAACAGGAAAAAAGAAAAAGTCTCTTTAATCAGTGCCTGGTTTTCAGCTGCGTTCGTGACGTTTCACTCTTTTAACAACGTTTCTTAAGTGATTTCCTGACTGAGCCAATAAAGTCCAATCCAGACCAATTTGCCAGTGTTTGATGTGTGTTTTTGCCGCCCGAATTACACGATCGAGCCACGCGGAGTATTCTCTCGTGTCTCCATCACTCCGTCTCCGAAGTGCTTTCTCTGTCATTTAGTAACCAAGCCCCGTGTCCGTGTCCCCGTCTCCACGGTCCCCCTGTATTATGCATAGAGAGGCACTCTGTGCAGTGGTGCAGAAGAGTGGAGGTGATGTAACAGCGGCTGGGAGCGTCGCTTCGGACTCCCATCCGCGATGAATTCATGCGACAGGCAGAAAAAAAAAATCTGATTGGTTCAGCTTTGTTGACGCTGCCAACAACTATTAAAACGCTCTTGTATTTATTTATTTTTTTTTTTCTTGGTCCTACTCCTGTGAGATGGTGATTAAATTTAGGGGGTCACGTTCGGATCATCTGTCCTCCAGCTGCAAAAGTTTAGGTGAACGAAACAGGGTGGAAATGCAAACAGAGAGTTCACACGGTGGGTTAATGAAGCTTCGCAGCGTGCCAGGAGAACGTTCTCGTGCCAGGAGAACGTTCTCGTGCCAGGAGAACGTTCTCGTGCCAGGAGAACGTTCTCGTGCCAGGAGAACGTTCTCGCAGCAACTTCAAAACCAAGAGTTGAAGACGACACAGCTCTTTGAAGAGTTGTTACTGCCATCTAGTGTTGAGTCTTTTACACGACTTCCACTGCGTTTAACAAACGGAGTGATAAGCGTGACCTGTATCATTATGCTTAATAATTTCTTCAGTTCTTTTCGGTCTTTTAGAACATCCCGAGTGCTCATTTTATTCATTTAAAATGTTCATATTCTTACGCCCATAAAGCAGGTGAATACTGCTTTATGCAGGTGAATACTTGTTAGTTTTTTTTTGCCACATTACAACACATTTGAATATAGGCTAATATATCCCACTTCATTCTGTCTTATATAATAATTGTGAAGTGCAATGAAAAATTATGGATTTTGACTTTTTTTTTTTACCAACTGAGATGTGAAAAGTGTGATGTGCATTCTAACACAGATATCCTTCAATCTAAAGCATTTAATTTTTGCTCTGGCTGTATGTGGTTCGGGCTATTGTCCTGCTGAAATGTAAACTTTCACTTCACTTTCAAGTGTTTTGAAACTGAGGTGAAATCCCATAAGAATTTCCTTTAGGATTTTCTTCCTGCACTTGGCTCCATCCCTCTTCCTGTCAACATTGATCGGTTCTCCAGTCAGCACTATAGTACAGCATCTCCACAGCATGATGCTGCCACCACTAAGTTCCACAGTGGGGGTGATCTTAGGTTGACATGTTGCTTTAGAGTTGGGTTTTCTCTGGGCAATTTTCAATAAATACAAGGTTTGTAGGGTGAACAGCTAATGGTTAGGTTTGGGCTTAATGTACGATGGATAATCAGAGCTATGTTTAACGTTTGGAATATTGTTAGACAAACTAACCTTTCATTTTTTACTCTTGGTCTTCGTGGTGCTTTTTATTTTGCTTTATTATTATGTTCTCTATCTCAAAGGCCTAACAGCTTGGTTTTATACCGAGATTAAATTGCACAAAAACTACATATCTAATTTCTGAAGGCAATTTGTCTCAAGGGATTTAATTTCGGGGATTTCAAGTAAAGGGAGATCAAGACAAGAATGTTTCATCCTATTCACCTGGGAACAGTTTACAAGATATGTATCACTTTCCAACCAACACATCTATTGCATAAGGTCTATCTATTGCATAAGTTCCCTGCAAAATACCTTGAATGTTTTGGTTGTGACCTGATTAAATGTGAAAAGCTTCATGGGGTGTAAATACTTTTGCAAGTCATAACTGTCCCACACATCCAAGTATTAATTGTTAAACCTGACATGTAGATTATTGCTTGCAAGCATTTTCACCAACAGACATTTAATTTTCCAAAGAGGCTTTAAACTCTTTAGACCACTCATTTAACCTGTCAGCAGCTCGGTAATTTTCTGCTTCATCAGCAAGAAGAGGTAGCCTGCTTTTTTTCATTTAACAGGAAGTTGCTGCATGCTGACCTAAACAAAGAAAAAGTTGAGAAATTTATTTAGACCCGGATTTAAAATGTCTTTCATCGAGACAGCCGGCGGCATTAAAAAAAAAATATATATATATAATAAATTCAAGACTACAAAAGAAGTAGTAAAACAAAAACTATGTTGGTGTTCAGAAGTTGTCAGAGTGCTAAGTGGATCAGTGGTTGAGGAGATGCACCATGTGCAGAGGTTTCAGAGTTCAGCTGACCTGGGTCGGTCTTCCGGCCCAATAACATTTACTGTACGTCGTCCCCTCTTTCTCGGCCCTTCTTCCTGTCAGTCTAGCAAAGAATAAAGCCACAAAAAACAAAGCAAAACATTTTAAAAGTCCTATGAAGGCATGTAGAAGCATAGAATCACACATTACAAGAACGATTTGGATTCATTTAAAGTAAATGTACTGACAGGTGACGCATCAAGCACCAAAACGGAGATTTTAAAAATGCAATGAAATCTAATATAAAAAAAAAATATATATATATATACATTTAAAGGTACTTAGCAAAACATTATTTAAAATATTGAATAAAAACTATCTGAAATTTATGAACAATATCTGTTATTTACAAAAAATATGCTTACTACATCTTTTCTCATGAAATCAGTGTAAAGGGATAACATTACTGCTTTGCCCCTGGTTCATTGCAATCCAAAGCAAAAGGGCCTGCGATTCTGTTCATTGTTGTTTCAATTTTTGGAGAAGTTAATATTTAACTGACAGCAGAGGGAGTTAATCAACTTCCACGTCTTCTTGGGCAGCTGTTTGATGATTTATCATTTTTTCCATTGTGGCCTACCTTGACTCAATCAATGACTCTTATGTGGGGTTGCACATAAAAAAAAAAAACAGCTACAGTTTTCTTTTCTGAGAGCAAAAGTGATGTGTGCAATTCGTGGGTCCTGGATTTTCCTAGGTTGAATATGTCAGACTGCTTTGTGGAACATTTATGTCAGTGATTCTTTAATTAAAATTGAACCTTGTTGTGAATTCACAGCTTATAAAACATTTGTGAATTTAATTTGAATATGATCTACAATATTACAACACAAATGTCAAGATCATAACAACATCACTGGTGGAACCTACTAATGGTGTAGAATGGAAATACCACCTTTATTGTATCAAAACATTATTTATTATCTTATTCACTGTGTAAAATCATAATCCTACTAATATTAATAAATACCACGAACCATGATGTGAGGTTGAAAGGACACAATGGTTTCAATTGAATAGTGATGATTAAAAAGGCAGCACAGTTAAATCACGCTCTTCAGGAGGATAATTGTTGCCAAAATAACTTAGAGCTTTTAATGATGGAAGTGTTATGGTTATACCTACAATCTGGTTATATTTTATAAATGAAACTACATGTTCTGATGAGGTATGGTCGTCAGAATAAAAGGATCTTTTGAAAATAATCTTTTCATTCAGCCCACACTTCTTTATTAAAAATGTTTTTCATTGGTCTGATGTAAAATGTTAACCTTAAATGTTGTGCTTATTTCATTATCTGTAAGCATAAAATCAAACTAAATGAACAAGAATTAAAGTCTGAAAACATCAGTCTGTGAGTAATTAATCTGTTTAATGTATTTAACCCAATGACTGGAGTTTCTGAAATCAATGAATTTTCCAACAATACTTTGACCAGCTGGAATGGGTTTGTTGATAAAATGTTAATATGCGGCATAATTCTGTCTTAAACTGAATGACCCTCTCATGGGAATTTGTTAAATTCATTTCAGTTTGTTGGTTTCGTGCAACAGGTTTAGCATTTATTGAAAAACAATGCATTTTAAATACAATTGAAGTCAAAAAACCTAATGTTAGCTCAACTCATCTGTCTGAAAACAGTTATGTGTGCTTGGGGTCTATGTCTTTTTGGAACAATTAGCTGTGTCTTTGTTTCAACAATTCAAGTTGTTGATTGGAGATGTAGTTGATTTTTAATAATTACAGGGGTAAAATATCCAGCTGGATATAACAGACGTCTGATAAAGACCATGAACAGCGTGTGGTTTGTCTGAAGCGCTCTAAGGGATATTTATGTGAATATTAGTAAAGTGATGTGTATTTGAGTCTAAATACATAAATTTTACCCAGTTTGCATTAATGAAAATCCACAATAAATTTAAACTTGTTCACACAGATCTCCAATGCATCATTAAAAGACCAAAATTATTAAAATCATAACCGTCATTTATGATGATGGATGTAAACGTCTGACCGGTTTTTGAATCTTGCATCACTCAGCTGCAGAACAGGTTTGGTTTGGTTTAGAGAGAATAAAGAGCACAAACCATTAATTTGATCTCAGATTTACATTCACTAGTTATAAATAAATCACCCAGCATATAAATAAATGGAACTGAGTTTTCAAGATGACGTCAACATTAACACACCAGATTTGAATATCAGCATTGAAAGCCATTTCTGTTGTGTGCTTTCAAAGAGAAGATTACCTGTAACTTCCTCTACATTGCATCACATTCAGGGCTTTCATGGCTGAACTGGTTTTCAGCTCCAGTGACGTTACTCAAAACTCCCAGAGGCGGATCTTCCTGACAGTTAGAAAACTGACGAGGAAGTTTTACATTTACACGCTGCTTAGATGTGCTGCTGATTAGCTGCTGCGCAACACGTGGGAAAATAAAGAACTGAACTGAACCTTTTAATGAACCAAAGAGTTTCTTTCTATGATCCAAAGTCGTTTGGACTAGGACTTTTTTAATGAACTCCACAGACAGATGATTCTTTCCAAAGCAAGTCTTTATTTTATGTAAACATGAATACAAAATTAATATAAAGAACATAACACACACACACACAAAAAGAAATATATATATATAAAATGCTCTTACAAATGAGCCACTATATGCATTGCTTTTGCAGCATTACAATATCAGCTTTGCTTTTTAAAGCTGGTGTTCACAAAGCAGGCAAAGCGAAACTTGGACACAGGTTTGCAGTAACAGGCCTCGGCATCTTCCACAGGTTATGCCCATAAAACGTTTTCTTCTTGTTCTTTCCACTTTGCAATAGACATTTTCTTTGCCATGGCGCTGCAATTATATCAGAAAAAGATGTTATATATCTTCATTTTTTGTTGTAAAATCTTAGGATTATTTTTTGCAATGAAATTACTCACTCTATTTGGGTCACATAATCCATCACCCATTTTTTAGTAGGGTCAGCGCAGGTTTTCCTTGTGTTTGTGTGGAAACTGCAATTGAAAAGAAAACAAAGTTAATAAAAATGATTGCATCATCATAAATAGTAAGTAAATAAATACATAATGTGAATTTTGAATCTGTACCGTAAAAATGTAATCACTTACATGATTGCTCTGAATGGACATAATTCTGTGTTTTTCTGCAGTGAGAAGCCCTTGATCTCTGATAATGGTATTTTTCCAGGGAAGTATCTTCGACAGCAAAAACGATAAGCTGCTAGCAAAGTTAAGAGAAGAAAATAACATAAGTCTTTGTGTCCTTCATTTATGTTTGTCTAATCAAGAAAACAAAAACATAAAATAAAAACAATATTGAGAGAAGAGATATGAAAGCAAATGCTTACCTGCATGTGTGTTTGTAGCCAGGACACAAAGGGCAGCCAGTGTTGCCACCATCACTGTTACTTTCATTGACACCATAGTTTCCGTTTTGCTGGCTGGTGCTGCTCTGGTCTGAAAGTGGTCTCTCCTTTCCTCTCTCAGGTTACTGTGAGCTGCTGATCACTGAAGTCTTTTATACACACTTCAGAGCAGGCTCTGCCCACTTGGCCAGTTTTGTCATAGCATGACAAAAATTCCCCAGTGCTCGTCCCAAACAAAGGCTGAATAAAGTTCACCTGGTCACGTGCTGAAGTGGAGAAGTGGGAAATTTAGATGTTAATCTCACCGGCTGTTGTTAACAGAGGCTGTCAGAATACAAAACACAACAAAACAGAGGTGAAAATAAAAACATTTGGTTGTAAAAATGTTATGCTTATACCAAAAATTATAGAAAGTTTGCTCACTCCTTTGCAATCAAATAAATACATTCCATTACTTTGATTATTATTTTTTTCATTCAGTTAAATTCCTCATCTTACAAACCATGAAGCTGACCACATATATACATCTCAGCAGCTGATATATTAAGAGACACAAATGACTAAGTTTATAGGAAAAACGTGGGCATGTGAACATATTTTATGAAGGTTAGTGAGAAGAGAGGACAGAGAGACCTCAGATGAAACAGAGTAATCTCATGTTGCATGTGATTTAAGTTACTTTTTACCAGTGGAATGGTGTTTATCGGCTTGCAAACTGCAAGTTCTCTTTAGTTAAAAAGTATATATGGTCATCATGAACAGCATAAAAATAAAAATGCTTCAACCTTATAATTGATCATAATTTTTAGAACTCAAACATAGTTATTTGTTTGGAAGGCCTCCCCTCTGTTACACTTGTTGGTTTGGCTATGAGCAACTATTATCAAATGCCAGAGGCAATTATTAACTAAGTTAGTTATTCAGGTTAAAACGAACAGGTAGGAGCATCAACAGATTATCAGGAATAAATAGTTAAACAAGCGATCAGTTTCAGTGAATTGATATTTTATGAATACTTCCCTGGTGAGCCCTGCTGTGCGGAACATTAGATGAATAAAATAATTTGGTATTCTCAAATAGCATGCTCTGCTAACATTTTATTAGTACATTCTCACAGACATAAGAGTGTGCTAATGAACTACTTGAACTTCAAGTTAAAATACTTCCTTTAACAAACTCCTTAACTAGGCTAGTATCATTCAATTAAAGTACAATTGAATAAGGAAAACTAATAAACTACAAAAAGTCAAAACAAACAAAGAAAAAGACCAATAACCAATAAAAGGATGCATTAAAATTACAGTTCAGTGAATTTACATGTATGTACATGTAAGCCAGGCTCGATTATGTGAACCTATTGAGAAATCCTTTTAAGTTCTACATGCACTTTAAAGCACCATGAATAATATTAATATACTGTCAGAGTGTGTGACTTTTTTCTCCATGGAAACTTTATTTTTGGCCAGGCGGTGTATGTTTTTGAGTGCCAATGGTCCAAGGTTTATTCAAAGAGGCAGTCTGTTATCCTGCCAGTCAGCAAAATGATTTTACGTGTGAGTGTCCCCAAAGGACCGCATGGAGGCTACGGGAAAACAGAGAGGAAGCACTCTGGTGCGCTGATGTTTGTATTCTTCTGTGAAACTCCTCCTTTCTGGGAACAGCGAATGAAAATGGGTTAATGCAGTATATTCTGGGATTCAGAACTCTTACCCATCTCTTTTGTTCTCTGAATCTTGTTCAGTCCTTTTTATTCCTCCCTCTGCCGGGTCCAACACCCTGATCGTACACAGATTCTTTATCCGACTCAACGCTCACTTCAAATTGTAAATATTACTTCCTGTTAGAAAAAACATCCTGGTAGTTTTAAATCTAAATCTTTTAGGAGTTTCAGTATTTTTGGACTTAGGTGTAAGTGAAGTGTAGTCAGAGGTGGAATAGTAGAAAATAATTCGACTCATAAAGGTGGAAAAATGTGACAAGGATCAGGTGATGATTTCTAGAAAACAGAGGCAGAGGTTAAGATATGGCAAAAAACTCTGAACATCAGAAATGGTTCCCACACAACTGCTGACTTCGTGGATGTGTTGCACCTCCTTGAGGTAGAAAGATACCACAGCAGCAGAGAAAACGGAAAAACTGACTTAACGGCACACACTGACACCTCAAGAGTGGGACAACTGAGGTTAAAAGAACGATGTCTATACGATCGAGAACAAATACTTCAAATGGAGAAGAAGCAACTGTAAAGATTCTTCAAGTATGGGATCCAACATTCACGTTAAATGTTTTTGAGGTCAAAGGTGACATTAAATTCAGTAAATTAAAAGGTGTGAAACATTTTAAAAAGTTGTGTGTGTTATGGTATTCATACTTTTCTAAGGACCTTCATTAACGCTACATGACAGCTAAACTTGGGGATATTGACATGGAAATAGTATTAAGGAGAAATGAAGGGCTTGTGTCTGTTATTTGAGAATAGTACATATCACTTATTGTACAAGTTACAAGGATATTTAATATAATTGTTTTTTCTTGTGTGAATAATGTATCTATTGCATTTTATGACTTTGAAACCTTAACTGTCCCAGCAATAATAAACTAACTACTAAAATAGTTACAAATAGAAAGTTTAAATTATTTTACTGTAGATTAGATAAATTAATTAATCAATAGTTCAATAAACTAATGAATTAAAGTATTTTTTTAAATAAGAAAGTGGCTTTTTGTCATTAGAAGTATTGACCAGTTATGTCACATGAAAGATGACAAAAAAAAAATGGAATATTTATGTAAAGCAACAACTCAAGTTCGATGTCTCGGCTACGTTTAATTATTATTCCAGCCTTTGAAAATAAGCACCACATTTTATACAGCATAACCACTTTGATTTCTCTGAAGAGTTTACGGGGCCTTAATGCTTGAGAAATTCTAGTTATTCATAATTTAACACAAGGTTAACATTCTGCATCTTCTGGCAGAGGAGCAACTTTTTGGAGAGAAAAGGATCATGAAAGGACTTTCATGTAAGAATTGATCAAAAATTATCACTTAATTTGTGAGTTTGTAGTATCAAAGGTTTAATAAAAAGAAAAAAAAAGTAGATGCAAGTCATCTCTTGCTTAAAATAGCTCTTGCTTGGGGGTGCGTGTCGGTCTTTCCACCAGAATACTCCATTCTTGCATATGGAATAGTAGAAGCAAAGGTAAATAAAATGATCTAATACATGACATTTAGAGGTAAGTGGAAAACTGCTCAGGGAAGAAGAAAATCTGAGAAGACCTCCGTGCATAAGCATTAAGTGGGTCGCTCGTTGTGGGTTAGTGTGGGGTTCCGTACAGATTCTTTTCTAGGTCAGAGGAACGTTTAAGCTTACACTCAAGACCCGCGCATCAAACACAATGTGCATTTAGTGCACTAAAATAGGTCACAATAACCTAAAACCTTTTGTCATCAACTTTCCATCCAAACCACAGCAGTCATTTGGGTACATCTGTTACTTGTTTATTCCTTCGCTTTGTCATATCATTAAAGTCACAATGTTATATAATCCACTTTGATATACGTTTATTTATAGAATTATTTAGAAGAAAGGGGTGCCGTTTTGCTTCACAAGAAATATGCATATTTTATAGTTAACGCCTTTGTCTACACTGCATAAATGTTTGTAATTGACAACACAATACTGATAAAAATTATTTTAGAAAACAATTTAAATGCATGATTTTATAAAACAGTTTTTTGACTCAGCACCTTTTGTTCATTCCAAAGCAAAAGCACAAATAAATACCAATACGAAGAGCAAATTGAAGGTTTAGGTTCAAACGTCTTTGTCTGTCTGATACAAAAAGATCCCACGGTCACATGAAACCTTGTGAACGTTTTCTTCATTCGCAGCTGTCTTGAAGGGAAGGGGGTCTGTAGCTCAAAGCCTGACTTCCCTTAACTGATAATTATCTACCACAACAGACTAGTTCAGACAAAGTCCTTATAATGTTTGACGTTTTGTTGCGTCACAGCATTGCACATGCCCGCATTATATAGAAGTAAATATTGCTATCTAGTAATAAGGTGAGATTGACATCTTTTTTTTTTCAGCACAACAAGGTTTGAGTCATTTTAGCTGGGATTTTTCAGGAGGAACTCTGACTTGTCCAATAGACAATAAAATATGACATTTGTCACCGGAAAGAGGTAAGAACAGACGTTAGCCTTCAGTTTGCGGGGGTATTAACTTGCATACTGGTTTCGATCCATAAAATAACAAAACAAAAAGCTAACAAAGGTACAATCAACAGTAGGATTTATTGAAATAATAACTGAAATAAATTGCAGTGACGTCAAACAGGCCTGGACAGGCCAGACTTCCAGAAAATCCACACATATTGTAGATTCCTGTTGTTTACTTCTGCTTATGCTTCTGACATCAAAGAGCCAAAGCAAAACATATTAGCTCCAATATGTTGACTGATTATAATCCATAATATGGTAATCTGTCAACATGTAGATTACCGTTTTACAGTAAACACATTTCTTTCCGTTACAAGAGCTTTTAGCTCCACATTAGGTCGATTTTGTTCTGGTTTTATCAGCTTTCACTTTGCATCTCCAGCTGGAACAAAATAAACTCTTAAACATTGTATTTCAGCTTTTTATATCACAGTTTACCAAACTGCTCAGCAAGACACAATTAGCATGGAGGACAATAAATTAGGTTCAATAAATGAGATTAGAAAGAGTTTGTAGATAAATAAAATGGCTGTCGCACATTGCAACATAATGCTGATGCTGCTACAATAAGGTCAGCAGGATGTGTTATGAGGTTTGGGTTTGTAGACTTTGTTTTTATACTTTCAGGTCTCTGATGACTGAAGAGTGAGGGAAGATTTATGCAACCGCTTGAAAGGCCGCATGTGAACTTCTATATTTGGTTAATATGGAGAAAAATGTTTGCGTTAAAAATGTAATTTAACTTCACTGAAACGTACATTACATAGTCAATACTAGATTGTGAGGCAGTCATAGCTTTTGCTAGCAAATGAAATTACCGCATTGCATCACTGAGTGAGGTGGAGCTTAATTGTTTGGTTCAGAGTGAATCACTGATGCAAAATTCCTCACAGCTTAAAGTCAACTTGAAAAGAGATCAGTCATTTCAACGTGAAATATTACTTTCATTAAATGTAAAACTTTATGTAGTTGCCACAAGGTTTGCAGCTCAAGCTACTCCATCTACCTTTGAAATATCAAATGGAGAAATTGAGCTATCAGAGTTATGTCAACTCCATGAATAGAGGAAATCAATAGAATAATAAACTAAAGGTGTAAGTGTAATGTGTCATTGTCCCTTGAACTTCAGCAAGAAGTGCCAATTTGGGGACTAAATAGGGGATTTTATGTTACAAAGTGGGTAAAGTACGCAGAACTTTGTACTTCCCGGATGACCTAAATTTATTGTTGCCTTGTGCTTTCCAGCTTGTTCTTGGTATGTGGTTTGGACGGTTTCCTTCCGTTTCACAAAGTATTTAATCTACACAGTCAGAGGCAGACGTTATCTCTCAATCCCATCTGACAAACCACATCAGCTCTCTGATTTACCACTGAGAAGGATGGCAAAGCTGGCTATGTGCGTCTCTGCTGTGCTGCTGCTGCTGTTAGCGCTCCGTGCGACTGGTAAGTAAACCGCTCTCTTCATTCAGAATCTTTGAAGAAGTCTGTGCTATTCTTTTTGGGATAATATTATTTCTAATTTGTTAACTGAGATACAAAAAATAGATGGATTTCTCTAACATGTCTCTGTTTCTTTTTTATAGCGTACCGCGGACCTTGCTGCACAAAAAATTTTGACAATCCAATTGCATTAATACGTCTGAAGAGTTTCACAGTTCAAAACAACACAGAGATCTGCAACATCAAGTCAATAATGTAAGATAAAAATTTGGTACTATGACATGTGTAATAGGTGCTGCTGCCGTGACTGCATAAATAATGCCTTTGCTCTTTTCTGATTACAGTTTCTTCACTGTGAAAGACAAACTTGTCTGTACCAATCCTGAGTTGCCTTGGGTCATCAGGGCCATGAAGTATCTGAAAAAGTAAGTTGTTATTGTCACCTAACAAATTTCAGCACTTCAGCATCACAATTTGTTCAAGATTTAACATTTAATTACAAAATTTTAATGCTATACTTTTTTGTTTAACAGGAAACAACAAAAAGAATCAGTGGAGGGTCCTCTGGGAAGTTCAGCTTAAAAGATATCAATCTTGTTACTCAGAGTATTTTTTGTTTGAATTACATTCATATAATTATATATTTGTTTTCACTTTTGTACTCATTTATATTCAATAAAGTTTACATTTTGCTAAATGTTTCTGTCCATTGATGTGTTTATTTAACAGGTGTTAGTTTCATTCAGAATCAGAATCAGTAGTTTTTATTATTAGTTGTAGACTGCAGCATAGCAAAGTGGCCACAAAGGCAAAAAAAAAAAAAGGAAAAATGTGGTAGAAGACTATACAAATATACTTCTTTTTAAATTAAATTATAATATTCTCTGCATTTCACATGGTCACCAAAACACTGATTGATTTGTAAGAAGTCTGAGTCTAAACAACTATTATCACTTTGACACCTGGTGTCGTATTTTAAAATGCTGTCATCAGACAAACAAAAGGCATAAACTCTTTCAACTTCCTCATTGCTGCTGAAATGTTCTGTACAAATAAACTTCACGTGACATACGGTTATGTACACAGCGTGGCATGTTAAATGACATAATGAGAAAATATTAATACAAATCTATGACAAAATTAATTAGAGTAGAAATTTAGTTTGAATAAGTAATTATTTTAGCTTGATATCAAGTGAAAATAATAGAGAACTGTGGACTCTTGCATAATTATTTGGCATATCGCCAATTAATTTAGTTGTTACTCATAGTTCGAGTTCTCACTAAAACCAGGAAGATAGAGACATAACACCAGTTTTAAAGTTCCTCCTCTGGCTCCCTGTAGCTCAAAGAATAGATTTTAAAATACTGTTGTTAGTTTACAAATCACTGAACGGTTTAGCACCACAATACATCAAAGATCTGCTGTTGTTGTATCAACCTTCCCGACCTCTCAGGTCTTCTGGTTCTGGTCTGCTTTGCATCCCCAGAACCAGAACCAAGAGAGGAGAAGCAGCTTTCAGCTTCTATGCACCAAAAATTTGGAACAAACTTCCTTTAAATCTCAACTAAAGGATTGTTTAGAATTGTATTTGAAATGTAATATGTAACAATGTGTTGTCTATTCTATGTTGCATGACTTTGTGTTTTTGTGTTTATGGTGTAAAGCACTTTGAAATGCCTTGCTGAAATGTGCTATACAAATAAAATTTGATTTGATAGCAGCTAGTGTATCCAGAAATGTTCATTTTAACATTTCTAGAAATACTAAAATTGTTATAACATTATCAGCAGCATTACAGCAATATTACTGCTAATAATAAAAGTAAAAAGTTTGGTGTAGTAAAACTGCTCCTAAAAATAAATTTTTGCAAGTAAATTACTCAATAAATATAACTGAATAAAAGTAACTGTTGCTGGAAAGATGGCAGTACATTTTAAATGGATTTTACATTTTGCTAAATGTTTCTGTCCATTGATGTGTTTATTTAACAGATTATATATATATATATATATATATATATATATATATATATATATATATATATATATATATATATATATATATATATATATATATATATATATATTTTTTTTTTTTAAACATGACATGTTTAAATAAAGCTGAAATCTGTATGCTACAATATGTGTCATGCTGATTTGGTTTTTTTGTTGTTCTGTTTTTACAATGCCCTGGAAAAGTACACTTAATTCTTAATCTTTTTCACATCTTGTCACCTTACAGCCACAAATCTCTGTGTATTTTGAAGCTAAAGGGGTGGTATTACATATTTTCCACACATATAGTGCTTCTTTTTTTATAGCAAAGGCAAGTATGTTACCTCCAGGCATGGTTTTGATGAGGAAATGACATTATTACATCACATCAGAATCCAGAAAGTCAGTCTCTTCAACTTCAAAGCAAAATAACTCAATTTATTTTTACAAATAATGTGAATATGATTCAGCCCTCCTTTACTCTACTGCTAAATAAAAGTCAAGCAAACATGAGTGTTGTTTATTTCAATATTTGTCTGTCTGTTCTTTGAAGGCCTCAGACGTTTTTCAGAAAATATTAGCTGCAGAGGTTCAAATCCAGGAGAAAAATGGCCCCAGATGCAGAACTACAACAGTTCAGTGAAAGTTCAGGCCAAAATCATTTTGAAAAATTGCTGGAGTGGAAAATTATTTATTTTCATTGTGAATGCAATGGAATTAAAAACCTAGTTATCTGTAACTTATTTTTTAAAAGAATAAATACGAGGACTAAGTTATATATTATTTTTATTGTGATGTTTTTAAAAATGTGAAAATACAATTTAAGTAAATAAAGATTTGATCCTACTTCGTAATCTGACAACGCTCAACAAATATTTGATTTTTTACAAATATTTTTGCAGTAATAAATCTCACTGCTTTTAATAAAATGCATCAACATTAAGTCTCATATTGAACTTTTGCTGCCTTCACTGGACAGTGCATAATTTGAGGAACCGATAGTGGGCGGCAGTGGTGAGCGGCTTCACAGGAAGGATGCACTGTATGAATGGTTTCCGACATGCCTGAGCTGAGGACGCTTACCTTTAACAGTAAGGCGCACTCTGGTTGACATACATGTTGTACATAGCGAAAGTTGCAAATGCGATAAGACACGCGTGCGGTTGCAGATCTGAAGCCAGGATAAGATAAAGAGATACGATAATGTCGGAGTCACTGTGAACGCAGCACAAGCTAGCTGAAGCTAACCGTTAGCTGCGCTGTTGATAATGACAACTGCGGAGGGAGAGATGCTGAGAAGACAAGAAAGGTAAGATTTTTAAAAAATATATCTATAAATAAAGGAAATGTTTCTAATTACCAACTTTTGTGCAACCTTTCTGTGTTGTTGCTGCTTTGTTGGAGAATTACACTAACAATATGGTGAAAGTAATGCACTTTTAAACCTTTTTCATGCTTCCGCTGAGAAACAGCTAACCCCTGCGTGCAACTAATTTCATACAAAGATATTTAACTAATGCAGCCATTACTTCCTGTTCAGCTGTGTCACAGATGTGAGCCGACAGTCAGCAGGCTTCCAGTAGCCATGAAGGAGGAATGTGCAGGTCCGTCTTTGTTCGAGGACCTGGATTTTCCCATAACAGACTCCTCCCTGTTCTTTGACGGCTCCACACCCATCGCTCAGCTCCGCGGAGAAATCACATGGCTACGTCCACAGGTTGAGTACCTGGGCTGGGCTGGGCAGAGGAATGGAGAAATTCCTGCTCTTGTTGATATTGATGCTTGTGGCAGATGGCAAAGTTTTGCTGGTTTATCCTCTCGGCAAGGAGCCGATTTCTCACAACAGGTGTTTGAGTTGTTGATGAAATATTTTTGCACGATCGTCACGTAAGCAAGATATCCGGTGATGGAATACATATCACCTTACAAAACCTGTTATAGATACCGTGAGAGATTCTCACAGTTTAGTCGCGTGTGCAATAATGAGTCTGTAAAATGATTTAATCCAGTGATCTCAAACTGTTTTTCTCAATGACCGGAGTCCTGCAACTTCTACGTGTGTCCCTTGTCACATCATGTTACACTGTTACTCCCTCTTCTAAAACATACTTGGAATGTTGCTTTGATTCTTGCATGCATGTTTGAGGAAGCCTTGAATGTCTCTTGGCAGCCATTTGGGGTGCCTAAACGCTTGCCTAAACAAAGGATGACCTTTTTCTACAAAGTAGTATAAAGCTTTGCTATTACTACCCCTTTAACACAGAAAAGTACCAATTAGTCGTGTAGTTGTAAAATCAACAGGCTTATATGTAAAATGTATGAATGCTTCTTAGACTCCAGGGATGGGAGTCTTCAGGCTTTTTTCACTTCCATTCAATGTGCTTCAGAAGTCTGTGAAGCTATTCTAAATTGAATATTGACACATCACAAAGGGACTGGCATGGCAAATAAATGAGAAGTCTAGACTTTGTATTTCTGCAAAACAAATGTTCCCTGTTTGCACAATTTATGTTGTAACCAGACACAATGATAACAAATATAATGTGCATCTCAGTTTGTTGCATAGTTGGCTGGATTTGGTGTAAATGATATACTCTGATGCCTGTACTGAGGAGGTGATTCATTCATGTTATTCAGGTGTGTTGAAGCAGATATGCATCTAGACGTTCAGGACAGTGGCTCTCAAAGAAAGGTCCTAAAGTTGGATTACTTCTTTCTAGCAATTGAGGAAAAAATAAAAGTGTTAGGCTTTTTTTTAGCCAACTGAGTAGCAGCAGGCATGTCACTCTTTGCTTCATAAAGCTTGAGAAAACACAAGTCCCCCCTACATTGGCTATTGGATCTGATTAGAACTTTAAACAGGAATTCTTTTAAAGACTTGACACAATAACTTGTTTAAAACCTTGATAACGGCCGCCTACTGTTCATTTAAGTTGTTCAGAATACATTTCTGCAGACTCTCTTTGAGGCTCTCTTTATTTCTACCTTTAATCCATATCTCAAGGAGATCTGCCGGTCTCCGTCTCTCTTCCCCACCAATGCTAACCTGGCTCATGCTAAACAAGGACTGTTGGGTGACTGCTGGTTTCTCTGTGCGTGCACCTTCCTGCTCAAGAACCAGCATCTTTTAGACAAGGTACACAAACAGCAGTTATATTGTCCCTTGTCATTTCTCAGTGCTTTAAAATCTTAATTTTTTTACTTATATTCTGTACTGCTGACAGTGTCTTTTGGTTCATGTGTAGGTGTTTCCTCCTGGCCAGCCCCAGTGGGGTAGCAGCAATTACAGGGGCTCCTTTCAGTTTCTCATCTGGCAGCAGGGCCACTGGACAGAGGTGACCATCGATGACCGGCTGCCCTGCATGAATTCCTGTCTCTGTTTCTCACGCTGCCACTCCCCTTCTGCGTTTTGGATTGCTTTATTGGAAAAGGCCTATGCCAAGTAGGTAACTTAAGAACTTCCCCTGAGTATTTTATCTTTGTTTCCTTGCTGCTTTGTTGATCATTCCCAGAAACATTTTGTTGAGTTATCAACAATTGAATCCCTGCTTAATTCCTTCCAGGCTACATGGTTCATATGAGCAGCTCTGGGCCGGACAGGTGTCGGAGGCCCTTGTGGATCTGACTGGTGGTGTCGCCGAGCGCTGGAGTCTGAGAGAGTTTGGTTTAGATGAGGAAAAACGGCAAGCAGAGCAGGACAGTGACCAAGACAGGAGGAAAAAGCTGGACCTGAACCTCCTGTGCTGTGTGAAAGAAGAGTGTGCATTGAGCTGCTCCACCCACAGCACTCCTGGAGGTTAGAAAAGTATTGCTTTGTAGATAATCCCAGCACTGATCCCCCTACCTAACCCTGTCTTTTGACATTCTCCCTCGAATTAGGACTCAGAGAGCTGGATCAGCACCACGCTCTGACTGTGATGGAGTGGTTGGATGTGAGGAAGGTGTCAGGGAGTGACGTGCGGCTGCTCAGGATCAGAAATCCATGGGGACGATGCTGCTGGGCAGGTGCTTGGACTTGGAGGTAGAACGTTGTCATGAGGAATGTTTGCGTCACATTGCGTTTTAAGAATATTCAAGTATGCACATGTAGACAAAATAGTTGGTATTCCTCTGTAAATCCCCCCCAAAAATCCCTCAGTAGTAACTGAAATGGCTTGAATCTGATAATAAATAAAAATTAACCTACAAAAATCAAACATTTTTTTCAAATTACGGTTTAACAGAATTCGTTTAGAAATGTAACTAATGAAACAGGCCTGGATAAATGATGGTATCTCCAGAAAAGATTGAAAATAATTTGACCGTAGGGATGTTTTAAACAAAGGTGTGTCCTCTAATTAGCATCCCAGGTGTCTTCAAGTTTGTAACAAAATCAGTCTGCACATTTAAATGTTGACAAGTAGTCACTCTGCTGTTTGCAGACAAGGTGTGTAACTTAACAAATATGGCCCTCAGGCAGCAAAGGAGAGAGTTGCCCCAGGAGATTAGAAAGCCAATTATAGAGTAACATGTTGACAGTAAAGGCTATAAGACCATCATCTAGTAACTTGATGCTCCTGTCACTACAGTTGTGCTTATTATTCAGAAGTTTAAGATCCACAGGATTGTAGCAAACCTCCTTGACTACAGGAGGAAAACTAAAGAGAAAGATGACATGAACGTTAACCAAAGAGCCCAGAGCAACCTCCAAAGAATTAAAGGTCAACTCCAATGTCAAGGTACATCAGTGCCAGATTTGACCATCTGTCAGTGTTTAAGCCAAAGCGGACTTCACTCGAGACAATCAAGCAGGACAGCAAATCTTGAAAAAGCCAGTCTGGAGTATACTTGTGAACATGTGCAAAAGTCTCATTGACAGTTAACAAAATTATCGCCTCGAAAGATTGAGCAACAAAATATTAAGTTGCAGGCATCATCATTTTTGCCTAGATCTGTTTCTATATGTTTTAAATAATTATTTTGTTGAACCACACTTCAAACACAATGTTTGATTTTCATTAGTTAACTTTGAGTACATTTTTGTTTATCATTATTATTTTAGTCAGTTTCAAGTGTTTATGCCGTTGTGGGAAGTTATTAAAACCTGCAGAAAAAGAAAAGTCTGGAAGTTTTAAATACCTTTCCTGAGCTCAGTTTAAAAAGATAGCTAAGGTGAGAATGCAGTCAGTCACATTTTTGAGCTGCTCATCACATGCATCTAAATCTGATTTTGGGAACTTTTGAGGAGTGTTGCTATAGATTAGAGGTAAAAATAGACAGAGATGGAGTTTCCCATGGATACATTGAATTACACCATGACTCCTGCTGTTCTTATTGTTTTGCTGAAAGGGCGTGGAGTTATAGGTGCGTGAGAATACATTGCAACTCACATTAAAAAGGGATACATGAGATGATCATTTAAATATAAACATTTGTCACTGTCATGCTTTCATAACAAGATGAGTCACAATCACTATCTTCCTGACTTCCCTGTTGAAGTAAATAATTTGTGTATTAAAGACAATGTAGTAGGCTCAGTTTAATTTGTATCAGGACTGTCCATTTTTGCTCATAATGATGATTTGATAGGTCTAAATTTGGGGAGACAGTTGAAAGATGAGAATTACTTTTTAATTTAATAAAAATGTACCCAGGGAAACCATCAGCAGCAGCGGTGTACTTTAGTGCATTCAAAACTCCTTTTAGTTAATATATGAAACTTGTCTAAATATAGCAAGAGGGACAGAAATATTTTTCTTATCAATCAAGCCCAAAGGAATTTGTAAAGTGATGCCTATCTTTTAATGAGGAAATCGCACAAAACCCTTTTTAAATTTTAGATCTGCAGTGATCCTCTGCAGTGATTTATTAAATAAAATTTTGATTTATTTAATTAAAATGCTGCAAGTTAAATTTTTGAGCAAACAATACAGTTCATAATGTGCATAACGTGATGAATGGAAGTAGTTGTTTAGATGCTCTACATCAGGGGTGCCCAAAACGTCGATCGCGATCTACCGGTCGATCGCAGGCAGGTTTTGAGTCGATCTCTGCAGGACGCTGAGAGCAGCACTTCCTCTTCTGACAGACTTTTCAAAATATTCACTAAGATCCAAAATGTTTGTGGGTTCATTAAAAAATAATAAAGCCTGAAACCTGATATCGTAACGGACTGAACGTTTTTAACGTAATCTTTGCTCGGCTTGCGGGGCGCAGGCGGTTGCCACAGCAACGGGTGTGCTTAACGATAAAGAGAGAGAGAGAGTGAAACGGTGCGAGTGGTTCTGAGTTGTTCGGGTTATTTTACTTTGTTTTCCTTCGCTGTGGTTCATCACAGCCGCTGGAGTTTCTGAACGTTCAATAAATGACACACTTAGACTAATTGCCTTGTTCGTTTGCAGTAAACGTCACAACAAACGTCAAATAGGACAAATATATTTGATTAAGTTTTAACAAACAAATGGCTTCTACCACAATAATTGTGTCAAATTACATTAATTCTATCCCAAATTCAGAAGATTTGCTTGTACCTTTGCGAAGCTCTTTGGTTCCTCCTATCAGTCTGCAGTTTCGCATAGTGACGTTATCAAACCAAATTTCAGATATACCATAACTGACTGACACCTGCTGGCCTCAAGTTTGCAACCAGCTTCTGACTGAGAAACCAGTAACCTGCTCCCAGTGTCAGAATCTCACTGAGGAAGAAACTGCATTATCATTTCTGTCACTTTATCGTTTCTGATATAACTGATGTATATTTGCATAGAAAATTAGTCAATAGGGTTTCATTTATAATTTGTATGTCTTCATGTCATGAGGTAGATCTCAGCCGGCTGGTGAGAGAAAAAGTAGATCTTGGTCTCAAAAAGTTTGAGCACCCCTGCTCTACATGAAGACCACAAGCCACATTTTCCCAGAACTTCACCACCAATGTGCTGTGTCTCTCCTATAATGCCCCCTGGTGGTAGGTTTTACTCAGGTCAGCTGCAAACCCTTACCTGAGACTTCATGCGTGATCAGACCAATCCATCCTGGTCTGTTGCTCTTACGTTCGTCTTTGATGTGAATGTCGAGGTGCCCTGTGTAAATGCTTTGACCCAGTTTAGCATGCAGATTCTGCACAGCTCCATCGGCTCTGTGCAGAGCACCCCTCTGTCTTATCAAGCCATGCAGGTTTTCATTTTTGGAATGCTGTACACAATGGCACTGCTGTCTTGTTTATCAAATACCTTTTTGCTTGATGCCAATTGACTCATTAGAAAAACGATCCATCAGACTAGTAAAACCCTATTTTGAGTTGATATTGTTTTTCAAACAATTTGACTTTCAGTGGTATTGGTTGGAGTTTTCTCGACCCAGTTTGCGCTGCAGAGCTGCGAGACCGAACAGCAGAGGGCGAATTCTGGTTAGATGAGGCTGAGTTTACGTCTCAGTTTGATGACATCACAGTGGGATATCCAATTGGCAAAGATGGACTCATGAAGAGTGTTTACACAGGTTATTCATCTTATTATCTTTAGAAACTCGTTTCAAACATTTAGTGGATGGTTCAAACTTTCTGATGTCCAAACGTTTTTTTTGTACATTTCTCCTCCTCTTACAGGAACCCTTCTCACACACAGCCATCAGCTGGCTAGCCGGTGGATTAAAGGCCACTCTGCTGGCGGAAGCCGAAACACCAGCAGCTACAGCAGCAATCCCAAGTTTTGGCTCAAAGTGTGTGAGACAGGAGAGATTCTCGTATCCTTGCTGCAGCATCGAAAATGCAGGAACACAGAGAAATACGCACAAATAGACCCGGAGGGCATCAGTAACACAAAGCACCAGCATTACCAAGCTATTGCTCTACATATGTGGAAGGTCTGTGCCGTGCAACTCATGATGATGACACGTGTGTTACTGTGCAATTTACTTGGAAATGATTCTCTACAGGTGGAAAGGAAGCGTTTTAGTCTGAGCCGGATGTTGAACAAGCCGCCTTGTGCTTCTACTCACTGCCATTCCTACGAGAGAGAGGTGGTCCTCTGCCGGCCGCTGGAGCCTGGATACTACCTCCTCATTCCCAGCACCTACCAGCCAGGAGCCGAGGCCCGCTTCCTCCTCCGGGTCTTTTCCTCCTCCCCCACATCACTCAGGTACAAACCACCTCTAAGGAACAGAAAGCGCACCACAAGTTTAGAACATTAGAATAACAATCTTCAATATATATTCTGAAATTTTATGTGATAGACGAGCACAGGAGTGTGTCCTGTGTCCTGAATGTTTTTTTTCCCAGGTTTTCAACTTTCTGCAACCTTTTTCCTGTTTATATTTCCGTTAAAATTACAATGTTTCTGTTGATTACGTCCTTTTAATCTGAACGTCTTTTCCTGAGGCGAGTGTTGCACAACTTCAACCGACCAAGATGATTGTCACTCTAAGCAGGATAGAAAAAAAGCATGTAAATAAGAGCCAAGACTGCTAAAGTAACTTCAGAAATAGATCAATAGAAAAAATAGATCAAATTTAACATTCAGTTAATATCTCCATTGAATCTGACTGAAATTGGAAAAAAGAGATGGCAAAATATCAGTCTTGACATCTGTTTATGGTCAAATCCATAAAGAAAGTTGGTTTTGCAACTATTTGCACATGTGGACTGAATACATCAGTAGTTCACGTTTTCCAGGTTTCTGTTTAAGAAAATTGACAATCAACTTTCTTTCACTTTACAAATATATTGTGCTTATTGTTGGTCTATCTCACAAAATCCCTATAAAACTTATAGAAGAAGGTGGTTGATAAACATGTAAATAAAAGCAAAATTAGATTTACAAGATTTTGGTTAATTTTTTTCCCCACTTTGGTAGATTTTCTCAGATGTATCATGAGAAAATGACTAGTTTAAAAAATAAAAGTTGACATCTAAACAATAAAACCGTTTTCTTTTCACAGAGTATGGGTTCATTTGTCTGTAAATATTTATATATCTCTATAAATATCACACTTTTCCCCCTTATAAGAAGTGAGATATTGTTTGTTCATAAAATAACAAGGCCATTGTTATTCTCAGTGCCCTGAAAAGCCCAGCACCCTCTCTGCCACTGACATCGGATGGTGAGTGGGAGACCAGCTTCTTCCGCGGCTCGTGGATAGAAGGAAGGACGGCAGGAGGAAGCAGGAACTTCCCCTCGTACTGGAAGAACCCCTGCTTCCCTTTCGCAGTGTGTGATGAGCCAGCACCGACATCTGGAGTTAATGTCAGGATTACTCTGCACCAGAGCCGTCCTGACACCCATTTGCATCCCATTGGTTTCCACGTTTACAAGGTCAGTCAAATATCAAGGGATTTCCCCTGCAGTCTGTTTACACATGAGCTGATATGGAAAAAAAAAATTTTCTTCACTTTTTTGACTAGACATTTTAAATTTTTTTTTTTATCATCATCGAATAAAGCCATCTTACAAAATAATGAATCTGAGGTAATATTTTAATTTTAACTGTCTATTTTACTCAGGTACTACAGGTGGAGTCAGAACAGACGGCAGCCAAAGAAAATGATCCTGTGGCCAGCTGCATCCCGCACTGTTACACCCAGGATGTCAGTCTGGCCTGCACTCTTCCTCCGGGATCCTACACCATAGTGCCGTCCACTTATCAGCCCGACTGCTCAGCAAAGTTTATAATCAGCCTGGCTAGAAAAATACACAGGTTAGCTCTATTTTTCATGGTTTTATCAACTGTCGCATCAAAGTATAAATGTATTACTTTTTGGTAATAATAGGAGAAGATGTATTCAGCTGTAACAGTGTTACCTGTCTAAGCTGCTCTGACCTCTCACTTATTTTCCAGCTTTTTTTCTATCCTTATTTATAGTTCATAACAGGTTTTCATAAGGTGTACACCCACTTTTTCTCACTTTAAATATTAAATCAGACTAATGTTCTCCCGTTTTAGTTCGGCTAGAATTACGAACATTATTTATATTTGTTAAATGCTAGAATAATTTATGTTTTCATATTTTCTGTTTCCATTTTATTTTCCTTTCATAAATTTGCACACACCTCCGTAGTATTTAGTAAATTTCCCTTTTAAATGGTATGACCTTCGGTATTTCTACATAATCTTCTTTCCTTGTGACGACAGCTGTTCTGTGAAGTGCACCAATTGCTTTTGCAGTAAAAAATCCACTCATGATGCTGAAAAAGAGAAGCTGATGCTAAATGAGATGAGTTTGTTTATTATAACTAATTGAAAAACCGCCATTACAGTTTTGATCTAAAACAATGTCTGTCTTATGTTTCTGCCAGGAAAGTAGTGAAGAGTCAGGAAAAGCTCGGGAGTGCCATTCACGAGGTTGGTTAATCTGGTTACGTGATGCATCATGTGAAAATGACATCACAGTCAGATTAAAAGAAAGGAATAAAAAAAATTGACTAGCTTTGATTAATAATAAAATATGCATTTTGCTGTTTCTTAAACAGTCTTGGTTAAAAGAGTTAGTCTTTATTTTACTCATTCCTGGGTTTTAGATTGCAGTAACAGTTACTCAGAATTTTGTAGACATACTTATGGAAATTAAAGTTAACAACTACAACTAAGTAATAAAATATTTGGTCGGTATTTAAGTCTGTCATTTATGATATAACCTTTAAAGACAGTTGTTTAAGCACAGAAAATATCTCACTATGGTATCAGATCAAATTAAGTTAAAAATTATTTATACACATGGTGAATATATGTAGATTTAAAGACTATTTAGTTTCACTATCATCTTTACTCTGACTGGACATAATATTGAGATTTTAGAGCAGCTCTGACTGGACATAATATTGAGATTTTAGAGCAGCTCTGTCAGAGTCACTCACTTGAATCTGATGGTGAATCTGTGGAGGGAGCTAAAGATTAGGGTTATATTACAGAGGTCTTCCAACTTTGGAGACTTGGTGCTCATCATCAAATTTGTAGAAACATGCTCAAAGCTGCTCAGCAGTGATTAAAAAGGATTGATTGCTATAATCCCACAATAGATCTTTCTACTTATTATTAAGATACGTATAAATAGTTTTTGACAAGTAAATAAAAATGAATATATCTGAAGAATAATTTTAAATTGAAATCTGCCAGGGGTATGGGTAATTTATTTCTGCCCCCTTTTTACGCTATTTAAAGATCAAATAGACATACTTTCTAGAAAATCAACAGAATGAAGTCCAGGGAGATTTGACAGAATGTGTCACATCGACATGACAGAGCATGCATGTTGAACTTACGTTTAGATTTTAACTTTACCACTTGTCGCCAAAAGATGGCAGTACTGAATAACTTGTCTTGTGTTTTGTGTCTCTGGGTGGCAGGTCTCTCACATCTCTGTGATGAAAACCTAGTTCCATGGGACTGACGTCAGTCCACCACCCTGTGCCTCTTGGCCCACGATAAAACGCCCGGTTCCACAGTCAGCGCCGACCACAGAAAGCATGACTGTGTTTGTGTTTGTATATATGGACCATGAGCGGCTGGCCAGGCAGGGGGACAAACCACCAGGGTTTCTGTACAGCTCCACAATCATCTGTGATTAGGACATCAGAGGTTGTCGGTGGGCTGGGCTGCTAATGAAGTATGACGGGACTGACTGGTGTAAACAAACAGCGGCAACTGAAGAATACCGCCACTGCTCTCGCTCATTCACTCACTGGTGCGCCTGCCGGCCCAGAACAAAGAGTCCTCTCAGAGTCTCCACACAGAGGCATGGGGGGGGGGGGGGGATTGTCTGCAGTAGCAAAGCCAACCAAGTCGCACAAAACCAAACCAAGCCATACCAAAATTCCAATTTTTTGGAATTTTCCAGATATACCTTCCCCTACATACATTGTTGCATTGTGTCAAGAGGCAAACACTGCTTTGACTATGATTTTACATCAAAACCATTAAAACTTTGAGCCAAACCCAGAGAAGTCTACCTTGTTCCCCATCCTCACCCTTCGCCTCCTTTTCAGTCCCTTATACTCGGTCCAGAGATCTTTCTGGACCTGAACAGAGCCACTGTTTGAAGTTGCTGCAAGAACAGAGGACAAGCGAAGAGGATGAAACAAGAAACACGGCACATCAGAGGATGCCGGTTCAAACAACGAGGCCGCCAGTTCTCTTTTCTTCTATTGAGGCTGTGCATGTGCGGTGGTGTGTGTCCATCTGCTCGTACCCATCCATATCTGTGAGCTGAAGTCACCAGACTTCTGATCGCTTCAATCAGAGGGACTGCACACTTTTACATAAACAGGATCTCATTGACCAGTGGTACTTTGTTGTGTTAGCTATTTATCATATTTTGGATACATTAAATAAAATGTTAAACTGAACAAAATTGAGTAGATTTAATGGGATTTTGACATGTGCTAGTTTCTCTTTGCATTGTCTTTTTTTTCAGTAAGAATTTTTTCCCAAAAGTTTTGAGTTTTTTTCCGCTCAGACTTTATTGCTTTACCTTTGACATCGATTTCTCACGTCTCTATGCTATACTGAAGGTTAGTAATAAATGTGCCTTGTTTTAAATATTTTATGAAGAAATACATGTTTTAGTCAGTGTTTTAGACTACTGAACTGCGACACATTTTTCCTGTGACAGAGCTTCTTCAGGCTGCAGGAAACCTTGTTCATCAAAATGCTACTGGATCTGGATTGAAACTTGCAAAGAAAGTTTTGATATAATTTTTAATCATTTATTCAGATGGGAACACCTTTAGCATCTTGGCTAGAATAGCTTATTGGGAAATTAAGGTTCCAGAGTCTAGAGGAAGAGTGCAAAGGCAGGGTGACGTTTCCACAGTAAACTGTAATTTTGGGGTTGTGGAGATGCTGGTTTAACTCCGTTTCACGCCACTTGGATGCTAACTCATACAAAAAAAAAAAATGCCCTAAGTACATATTTTTATAAAATATAACTCAAAAATTGAGTTATATCACAAGATATAACTAATTTTTTTTTGTTAATGAAACAAAATATATTCCACTGAGTGACATAACTCATTTTTTGTTAATCTAATCAACAAAATTGAGGGTCTAATTTAAGAAATGTTATTAAACACAATCAACTCTTTTACCATATTTATATTTATTTTTGACTCTGATAATCTCGTTTTTTCACGTCAAGAAACGAGATTCTCAGTGACCAAACTTCTGGGGCTGTGCGCCTGCGCGCCTCACTCTTGACCCCGGACTCTCTAACTCGCTGCAACTGCCAACAAGCCGCATGCGCGTCCATGTGTAAGGACCGCGCGTCACCGTTCCTGCGGAACTCGGGAGGCTGTTCTCGGACTCCGAAAGCTGGACTCCTACCTAGAAAATAATGAACAACAAATTTGATGCGTGAGTGCAGGTTTTGATTAAATATGTGCGTTACGGCGGCATGTCGGTCGCTTTCAGACACTAACCGAGGGTTGAAAAGTTACTATGGGCGACGTTGAATTAAATAAGAGGTGTGTCAGCTTTCTGGCGTGTTTGTATATTCTTTGAATTAGTTTTTTTTTAAAGTCATCTGAGAGTCAGGTCCTCTAATATGAAAAGTGTATATTTCCGAATAAAGCAATAATGTAAAATCGAAGGGGTACTCAAGGCTGGTCAGTAGTTAGCTATAGCTTAGCATGCTGAAAGCCAGGTAGGCCCTCAATCCTCGGTGTTGTAGTAGTTGAGAAGTGAAAGACGGTGCGCGGACAAGGGGAGAAAGACAGACTGACGTCCGCAATGTACTAGCATCCCGTTTGACAGAAAGAGAGTTGCATTCAATGCACCGATCTCATTTATAGAGGAGGATATGCGCTAATGTTTTTCAATTAAACATGATCTCTTTTAAGATTACGAAGGGAAATAAGTTTATCAGACCCGGCTAGCTAAAATAACCTGCAGCGGATCTTCACGCCACGAGGTCATCATAGTTAACATTTAAGTTTTGGGGTATGTGTTACATTTTCAGCCGTCCGTCTGTTAAAAACAAAAATGGACTTTGCCATAACTCAAACACCGCTAATAATTAAAGCCTCAATTATAATCATAGACTTTATTAAAATCATGTTTGCCTTTGCTGTCAATTTAGAGCCAACTCCGCATTTATCTTGGTCTTCATGTTTCCATCTAATCCAGGCTGAAAGACGATGACAGTGGAGATCACGAGCAGGATCAAGGCTCACCGAAAGACAGTGAAAAGGAAAAACCCGAAGAAGACGACAAGGAGCAAATTATTATAAAGAAAAAAGTAAGGCAAAACGTACAACGATCTTTCTTGCACAAATATAAGGAAACCACAGACCCTGATGGCAATACCAAGTTTTCTTGAGGTTTGACTTCAGGATTAAGATTTTCTTTTACTTCTAATGATAATGTTTTGAAGGAAAAAAAAGTGCTTTGGGTTCTTTAATCAAGCTGATTGTGAAAATGAATGCAAATTAAATATGACCATTTGCATGCAAAGTTGTGTTTGATTTTATTAAACTAAAAACTGCTGTCTTAGTGTAATAAAATTAAGCTGTTGATTTTGATTAAAGTAAAAAAATGTGGAGGTTAAAGGTAATTTTCATTATTTTACCTGCTGATAAAGGTCATTGTAACCAAAGGGTTTTGTTTTTGAGTGATTTATCCCTTCCATGCAGTCATGTAGTAATTGCTCTAAATAAACTGATTTCTTGTTGTGGTAGATGGTGGTGCCAGGACCAGGAGAGCATCCCCTTCAGTACAACTACACATTCTGGTACTCGAGGCGTACTCCAGGGAGACCAGCCAGCACTCAGAGCTACGAACAGAACATCAAGCAGATTGGCAGCTTTGCCTCGGTCGGTTATTTATCAACTCCGCTGCATATATGATCTCTGCATGCTAGATTTGTTGCCCCTTTTCTTCTTTTATTTATGTAAACTCCTTTGCTATTCTCAAGGTGGAACAGTTTTGGCGCTTTTATAGCCACATGATCCGGCCTGGTGATCTCACAGGCCACAGTGACTTTCACCTGTTTAAGGAAGGCATAAAGCCCATGTGGGAGGTGAGGATTTGGAGATCCCTAAGTTTTTATGATCTCAAATTTTTCTGCTTGGTCCATTTGGAACATAATTTTCAATCTTGCTTTGGGATCATTCCTCATCTATAGGATGACGCCAATAAGATGGGTGGGAAGTGGATCATTCGCCTCAGGAAAGGCCTGGCGTCTCGATGTTGGGAGAACCTGATCCTGGCCATGCTGGGAGAGCAGTTCATGGTCGGAGAGGAGATCTGTGGCGCTGTTGTGTCAGTACGCTTTCAGGTGAATCCAGTAGCATACAAACATTATGAATGTATTGACTGCTGATTTCAGTACTCAGGCCTGTTTGTTTTTAATCAGGAGGACATTATATCCATCTGGAACAAGACGGCAAGCGACCAAGCAACAACGGCCCGCATTAGAGACACGTTACGCCGAGTCCTCAACCTGCCTCCCAACACCATCATGGAGTACAAGACTCATACAGACAGCATTAAGTATGTATGTCTCCTCATTTTATTATTATTTTCCTTCAACCTTTCTGTTTCCTAATCATTTTAATAATTTGCATGCTTCGTAACCTGTTTTTAGTAGGGAACCATATGAATAAAAAAAATCTACAACTTGTCACCTTTAATTTATGTATTATAACTTGCATAATATACTCTTATGACAACCACAAACTTCAATGTATTTTTATTGAAATTTTAAATGATCATTCCTCAAATAAATCACCTTTACTTAATTTTTTACACAAATTTACCTGTGTGTAATTTAATCTGAGGTCAGAAAACATTATTGATCTAGCAGCATCTTCAAGACCGAGGAGCACAGCACACAGGTTCAGGTATGGTGTTGGGGAAAATTGAAAGCAGGAATAGGTTAGAAAGCAGTTTCCCAAGCTTTCAAACATCTCACTGTTCAATCAAATCATTTGAAAATAGAGTATGGCACAACTTAACTTTCTAATCATAGACGCAGCCTAGAGGTCCATGGTAACTTGGAGGAGCTGCAGAGATCGCCAGCTCAGGTATGGAATGTGTGGATTGGTCAGCTGGAAAACCCAACAGGGTGCTCTGATCAGATGAGACTAAATTAGACCTTTTTTTTTTTCTTTCTTTCTTTCTTGCAAAATGCTGCTTGGTGGAAGGTCAACACTGCACAACAAGACTGGGAGTGGGAGCTGTATGGGTGTTTTTCCTTCAGCGCAAACAGGGCAGCTGGTTAGAGTTGGTGTTAGATACAGAGCAATACTAGAAAGAAAGTTTGTTAGAGGCAAAGTTGTCAGTCTGACGTGCGAAGCTGGTAGTGACTCAACGTTCACTCAGCAAGCAAAAGCGACCTATGTCCGACTTTTTCATGGATGTCAGAACAACGCAAAAAATCCGGTTTGCCCCATGTCCATATGTGGTACTAAATCTGATGTGTAGTTTTCAAAAATGTCTGCAGTGTGACCAGTCAAGCAGCATTTTGTCAAACTTTTACATCATCGATGCAAGACAAGCATCATAATCATTCAGCAGAAGAAGCTAAACGCGGTAAATTCTAATGATAAAATTGTGAAAGAAGTCAGACTACACATCCAGATAGACTTCTCTGCAGAAGTTGCAGTCACTGCTACACAAACAGCTTTGACTATTAGTTGGCTGTCTTTTTACTTGGCGACATTTGGTTTATGCACATGAGGGACACTTTTGGGTCATAAACTGTTCACACAGAAGTCTGACTGTGACCACATCATTCAGCAATATAAACAATCACCAAAACAAAGAATGGATTTGAGCATTAACACCTAACGTGAGAACGTAACCGATTTGGTGTGATATATCCAGACATTTACTTATGCATACATTTGCAGTACCGTGAAATTAAAATTGGTAACACCTGCAATTAAAATTTAAAACCTTAGCATTGTTTTTCTCCTTTTTACACTCTAGTATGCTTTGGTCTGCCACATAAATGCATTGAGGTTTGTGGATCTTCTGAGACATAAGTCATTTTAGTTAAGTTGCAGAAAAATGTCTTAAGTTTTTCATAATAAATATTGTGTTGTCCTGTTTTAAATAGACTATCATTTGACAAGATTCACATTTTATAGTGAGATCAGATTATGAAACTATATTCAAAAAAGCCGTGGGATGAAGAAGCAATTAAACGTCTGCAGCATATGGGAGAAAACTGCCTGTAATGGATGCCATACACTCTGTTGCCATGTTGCTAATGTTCTCTATGCTGAACCCACTCAACTTGCTTGGCAACAGGAGTCTTTCCTGCTCTTCTTGCTAGATTTTCAGCTTGCTTATCTGTCTTATGCACAACATTCATTTTCATTTCATTTCTCCTTACAGTAATGTTGGAAGATTTTTTTTCCTGAAACTGCCTCATAATTTGAGCCGTTAGGGGATGAGAACCATAAAGACTTCATAATCGTGTTGCTTTAACTCAGTTTCAATCAAATTCAGCTAAAACACCCGAACCAGACAATAGTTTTTCTTAGTATTCTCATGTGTACTGTATTTTTCCTCTGGATTCCTGCCTCTTGCTTCTTGATTTTGAATTTCCTTTGACTTACAACATCTTAGAAAACATCTGGATGCTTTATGGGGAATGTTTGCTTAGATATTTACACCCTGAGAGTGATTAGAGAAAATGTTTCAGTTCTTTTCTGAGTCCAACATCACATTTAAAATCCTCAAATGATTCCGGCTTTTATGGATGACAGTTTCCCCAAAGAAACCAAATCATAAACAACCTGTCAAAGAAGTGGAAATTTACATTTTTTTATTTTTTTACTGCTGTTTGAGTAACCTTAAAAGTAAACCTTTATATTTTATTGTGAATGATGAAGCACTGGATGCTCCTCTCTTCACAGAGCCTGGGAAGACTTCCATGGTCTGGTGAATGCTAGTGGCGGACGTTAGCCCCTCACACGGAGATACTCTGGGAAGAGTAAGAGCTGCTTCTGGTTTGGTTAATGAGAATTGAAAAGGGTCCTTCCCGATTCATTTTAACATCCTCCTTCCGTGTCCGTCTGGTTCGTGCAGGTTTGTGTGTTTACGTGGCGTGTTGAGGGGTGGACGAGTCCAGGGCTGGATACCTCTGCGTGGATCGGCACTGTGCAACATGAGGACAGAGGAAATATCCACAGGAACAGAGGGCCTGAAGACCATTCCCTGTTTTTGTCCAGTTTTAATGTTTGAAAGGAAAGACATGCCAGCGGTCGGCAAAGCGAAGAGAAATAATCAGTCAACCGGAGAAGAACGAAGCCTTCATTATTCTTGTTTACAAGTTTTAACATGTTAACTTGCCAGCAGAGGGAGGCTGTGTGACTGGTGTCTGCTTATCTGTCTGTTTGCTGCCAAAGTGTGCTGGACAAAATACAACAAAACTTGTTTGATGTAGAAATGAATGTCATTTATTGTTGAACAGAAACTGTAGACACAAGTCTGCTGAGGAGTTTTAGTGGGACTCAAACAGGCCAACAGGTGGACAATGTTTTATTACAGTGATGTATTTTAAATGCCATTCCTGTCATTAGAACACAATCACATCATTTTTGTGTACAACACATTCGTGTATACTTTATGAATCTATCATTTCACTCTCTGACATGGACCTTTTACTCTGAACAGAGACGGGCCGTCCTGTGGTGAGCAGAATGTTGTATCGGAGCTTTCTTTAAGGTTGACTACTGGCTGCCTAAATCACAGTGCCTGGCCTCGAGCTGAGAGCTGTCCCATCAGGTCAAGGTATACGACGTCTTCAACTGGTTCATAGAAAGGACTTTACTTAAACATCCAATATCCATCACCTTTTACAGTTTATCAACAAATTACATGAAACTTTAGCCAGGATCAGGGTTTGTTATAGATTTCATCCTGGACAACAATTTTTTTTCTGTTTTTCTTTTTAAGTTTGAGGAAGTCTAATTCTGCCCAATATGTTGTGGCAAATGATGGAAGAGAAACATTGTTGGAGATGTGCACCTGATGGATTCTAGCAATAAAAGTTAAATATGCATCTGCTGCTAAGGCTGGCTCAGTTTTTTTCTGCACTATTGAAAGCTGGAACAAAACAGTAGCTGTAGAAGAAGAATCCAGTGTTTTCTTCCTGCCTTTGTCTTTTCCATCAGAGGAGCTTGGCTGTCCAAATAGCTGGTGACTTACATAAGGTGTCTTTCTTATTTTTTGGTTTTCAGCTCATCTCAAAGAACATGTGGTTCTGAAAAGACAGTAACAGTTTGTAAATTGACTTCAGCTTTTTCTTAGCTTAAGACATTAGACTACATTAGGTCTTTAGGGCAAATGTTATATACACAAATTTTAAAAAATGTACAGCATGATCTAAGTGTTTTCAAAAAAGAAGCTATTCCTGCTGTTGCAAAATATATTATAGAAATGCTACGATTTGTTTTAATATATAGTTGAACAAAAATTAGAGTAAACTGGCAAATTGATCATTGTTTTTAAAAATAAGTTTTCAAAACCTCAGTGACCAAGACAGGCCTGAATTTGATTAAATCTGCCATCTCGAGTTTCATGATCTTACCTGGCACATGGTCACAGATATTGCATACTCAGAAAAATATGACGGGATGATCTTTGAAACTATGAAGACAAGTTTGGAATCCAATCAGCTACACTAAGTTTAATACTTGCCAGTAAGAACGTAGCTGCCAGAAGCAGGAGTTTCGTATGTGGCTCCAAGCTCTGCGGCACTGCAGAAAAAAGAATACGCCCACCAAAGTTAGGAAACTGATTCTGATTCAGAAAAATGTTCAGTGTCCATCTCAAAGAAACTCAGTCACCAAACAGGTGAGAAATGTCTGGGAAGAAACCGATCCAATCAGGATGTAAGTTGTCCTTGCATTGTTTACACTTACAGCTTCTGTCTTTGGAGCTATAATGGCCTTTTTTCTATTCAGTCAAGTAACCACCCTCTACTTTTATTTTGCTGGGATTTTATGTGATAGACCCACATAAAGAGAACATATATGTGAATGAAACTGGCATCAGAGAGCTAACAAACATGTAAAAGATTTCTTAATTTCTAGAGACCAAACGCAAAATTCTATTATGCGGGAAAACTGACACTGTAGATCGCCCTGAACGCATCATCCCCCATTTGAAAACCGGGCCTAATTTTGCTTCTACTTCAACATTATGCACAACCCCATATATGGTTTACTTCTATAAAACTTTAACCCATATAAACACTGGCAAAGCACTGCATTGTGCCACCACAAAATATCGTCATTCGCTGGAACAGACCATGAAATAAAAGATCTCTCACCTCATCACAGGTATGATTTTTATCACAAATGGGTTAAAACTCACCCTCCAAGCCAAAATATTCATGATCCGTGTTACATTCATTGCTGAAGCCAGGCCACTTCTTCCATATTGTACCTATTTGCTCTCCAATGTTGGAAACAATCTGTGAATTATTTAAAAAAATAATTATTAAAATAGAGTGTGGTATTCATGCCCAGAGAACCTCCTTGTGCTACACTCACCAATTCAATGTCTTATGAGGATTTTATGCAATTAATATTCATGTGGGAGGAAATCTTACAAAAAAAAATTCAAAAAGTGAAACGGTCATAAGTAAAGTTTGCAACAATAAGCTATTTGGGGGAATAAAGTGCACTGTTGTGAGACCAAGTATGTTCTTTCTGGCCTACATGAAAAATGCTACATGATGGAAAACAGATACTGCTCATCTGTGAACACGCCATACACACTATGAAACATGGTGGTGGCAGCATGATGCTGTCAGAATGGTTTCCTTCAATACAGTTGGTCAAAGCTAATGGGAAGATGAATGGAGCTAAATACGAGGCAGTCTTACAGATTATTTCACTGGAAATGTTTTTTGTCATAATTGAAATGATTTGGAAGTGGCAATATTATCAAAATTATATAATTATTGACTCTGAAGCAGCTTCTATATCTTGTTGAAAAAGTATGTTAGTTTTGTCTTATTTCAAGTGTGCTAAGATATTTACATTAGAAAACAGACCAAAAAGTAATTGGTAAACTGTTGTGTTTTTGCATCCGATTTTATCTAAGGAAGCCCATCAGTGCCTCTTTAAGTCATTTGAAGGCTTTAAATGATTGCATTATTTGGCCCAGGAGCCTTTCTTCTCTAAAAATGATCAGAAGTAGACCTGTCACAATACCAAATTCTGCGGAGCGATTAATTGTCTCAAAAATTATTGCAATAAACGATGATATTGTTTGAAGACCTTTTCACACTGATTTAATGGAAATTATGTAATAATGCATGCCAAATATAAATACACTTTATTTTCAAAAGATCACTTAACACTGGAACAGATTAAACAACCATATACACCAGTAATATTTAGCTAAATAAAATAATTTAGCAAAATAAACTAGTCTGGCTGCCCTTAGTCTAATAATGATTCAGTTTCTCTTCCTACATGTTGTTCAGTCACCGGGTTCGTGGTGAGGAGGAGGATCTGTGCCTCTATCAGATTATGGAAAAGAATATTTTTTTTATACACTAGTTAGAGTGTAGCGTAGAAACTGACACATATCTCTTCCCTCCTGATGTGTTGATCAAAAATCGACTGCCTGAATTCACATCACATGATTTATGACTATGTCATAAACAGATTTCCCCTTACACCGCAGCAGCCTTGATTTTATATATATATATATATATATATATATATATATATATATATATATATATTATATATATATATATATATATATATATATATATATATATATATATATATATAAAGAGAGAGAGATATTAATTAATTATGTGGAAGAACCCGGAGCAACAGAGAGAACCTGAAACAACCAACCAACCCAAGAAAATGATTGTTGATTTCAGGAGGAACAGGATTAGATCAAAGCTTGTTTCCATCATGGCAGAAGAAGTTGAGGAAAATAAAGACCTCTGTGTTTTCTGGACTGGAGACACTGTTTATAAATGGGGAGCTCACACTTTTTGAGACCAAGATATACTTTTTCTCTCACCAACCGGCTGAGATCTACCTCAAGACACAAAGACATAAAAATTGTAAATTAAACCCTATTTACTCATTTTCTATATGAAAATCAGAAATGTCATTACGGGAGAAACAAATGTCCCCAGCTGGGGAGGTTTCCTTCACTGTTGTGGGAGGGTTGAAATTCAAATAAAAAATAAACTCAAAATGATTCACTTTCCAACAAATAAAGAAGGCCACAGATAAAATATAATGCAAAGAAATAATTCAAAACAATACAGAAAATAAACAAAGAAGTAAAAAATAAACAAAAGTAAAAAAATAATAATAATGGGACTGCAGTCTCTTCATGAATATGCTCTCCAAATATTGACATCTTTAAAATCAAAGTTGAGACTTCCAACTTCACTATCTCTTCTTCATAACAAACTTCATCAACTGGAGACATTTGATGTTCGGGAAGATTAGCCAAATCATTCTCTAGGACAGACCTTTCTTCATTGATATTCTCGTGAAATGCAGAAATTGAGCAGTCTGGCTCAACTGTCTCATTTTTTACAGTCATCTTCCCCAGCCGGGGAAGGATCTGGCGGGGGAAGCAAACCTCCCCATCCGGGGAGGTTTGCTTCTCAGTCCGGGAAGGATCAAACAGAAACGAATCAAACATATCATAATACGTCATTATTAAAAATAAACTAAAAATTATTCAGTTTCTGAGACATAAAGAAGAAAACAAATCAAATATAAAATAGAGAAATAATTAAAAACACATCCACTGAAAGCAAACAAAGGAATGAAAAATAATATAAAAAATAATAATAATAATAATGGGAACGGTTTCTCTTCATGAGTACTCTGTAAAATCAAAGTTGAGGCTTCAAAATCCACTATCTCCTCTTCATAAAAAACTTCATCAACTGGTGATATTTGTTGTTCTGGATGATTATCCAAATCCTTCTGTAGGGCAGAGCCTTCTTCATTAATATTTTTGTGAATAGAAATTGTCTCATTTTGACTGTCATCTTCCCCAGCCGGGGAAGGATCGACAAGATCTTTCCCCGGCTGGGGAAGGATCTGGCTGGGGAAGCAAACCTCCCCAGCCGGGGAGGTTTGCTTCTCAGAAGGGGACAAATCCAGAAAAAAAGCATAGAACATATCATTATTGAAGAAGCAAACCTCCCCAGCCGGGGAGGTTTGCTTCTCAGTCCGGGGACGATCAAACAAAAACGAATCAAACTTATCATAATGGGGCATTGCTGAGAAGGAAACCTCCCCAGCCGGGAAGGTTTCCTTCTCAGCCAGGGAAGGATTAAAAAGAAAAGCATCAAACTGGTCATATTCAGAGAAGCAAACCTCCCCAGCCGGGGAGGTTTGCTTCTCTGTAGGGGAAGTACTCAAAAGAAAATCGTCAAAATGATCAAAACCAGAAGAGGTGCTCTGGTCCTTCGAGCTACCTCTTTTACCTTCACTAGGTGGAAAGAGCTTGTCAGAAAGTTTCCTGATCCCTGTAGTCATGAAATAATCAACAGTGAAAGCAAGGGGGACACCGACAGCGAGTAAAACATCTGCCATCGTAAAAATCCTTGCAATGAAACTGTGCTGATGTGTGAAGAGCAGGTTGGATATGGACTGATTCTTTGAAACACAGTCATTCATGACCTCAGACGTTCTTTGATCTAGATCCGCATGTCATAGATGAGGTCATAGCTACAATGAGCTCATTGAAGTTCCGGGTGAATGTCTTGCTTCAGCTTGTTGCTATGGAAATGATCAGTTTAGTTCTGCATGACCCAAACTATTAACCCTTTTCAACAGCGTCACTTAATCATTCGAGGCGCCATGGTGGACGTCGGAAGTGAGGAATGAGAGTATTGAACTGAGCGACTGAAATGGATTTCCAAAGTTTTTTGGAGTTGGCGTGTTTTTTCTTTATTTAAAATATATATATATATATATGAAAATATATATATTTTATTATATATTTTTTTAATAAGCAGGACTGCAAACATTTCTTCTGGTGGTGAGCATTTTACTGACAGAACAAAATTATTCCTGAAATAAAAATGGGTTTATAATTTTTATAATTCATGTACTGTACAGGGAGCGCGCAAAAATCAGACCTCTTGTTACATTGAGCTAGTGGTCTGTATTTTGAGTGTATAATGAGCCCAACAGCCAATTATTATTTAAGAAGAACCAAATTCACCGTGAGGGCAGAAAAACAGAAAGATTAAACAATCACTTAAACTTTACATTTGGAGTACTTTCAATAGGAACAATAACATCAGAAACATTATAAACACTGTAAAACGCCAAGTCCTACGAAGCATTTTTGTGTAGTTTTGAGTATAAATATCTTAGTACCCTTGAAATTAGACTAAACTAATTTACAAGTTGCTTTTCAACAAGATGTTTAAAATAAAAATCCTTAAATATTGATTAAAAAGTCCTACTTCCATCCCCCAACGTCACTTGCTAATTGTGTTATTGAAAGAGTTTTGGTCGTTCCTTTAGTTAAAATAAAAGTTTAAGATTTTGGGCCTGCAGAGAAACGTTTTTGTTAGTTTTTTTCTTTATATTAGCCTAATGTTTTGCAGATATCCCTCTTCACTTTTTCAGAGCACACCTACTGATCTTAAGAGTCTTACTTTAGGACAAGTTTATGGGTACACTGATTTATAGGTGCCAGTATTCTTAATTTTGGGAGATCATGTGAAGCTGATCTTATTTACCTCAGCACAGGTCTAAAATAACCACCATCCTTTTTTGAGGTTTGACTGATAGGCTGGGCCACCAGGTCGTGTCGTTCATGTTTGCGGCTTAACAGTAATCACCCCATTTTTGTGACTTTCTTGCTATATTTTCCAACATTTCAGAAAAATAAATAAATAAATAAATTGTATTTTTGCTTAGTTTTTTAGTGCAAACATTTTAGTTCACTTCAAATAATACCAAACTAAAAAAATAACTTTCCAGTAAGATATAAAAGCTTGTTTAGAGTCAATAATTTCTAATGAAGCGACAAAATGTGAAAAAGTTCAACAGGTATGAATGCTTTTGCAAGGCATTGTAAATAAATAAGAGTACCTGAAATTGTTGGTCGGAGAAGCAGCGGAAGGGGCAACAGGGGCCCTGAATTTGGATTCTGGAGGCTAATTGTGGGCCGCAGACCTCCAGGAGAGGGGTAAACATGCTCCACCTGACCACACAATCAGGCAACACACAGCAATAAGCAACCTGGCAGAAACACGGTGCAGTACTTCACACGGTGGCACGGCCTGCCCTGATGCTTGAGTAACCAAATTTTCAGCTGTCGTGATTCTGCAGCACAAAAACCATTGTCTGCTCAGGGCCAGAAGATTAGCGAAATCATTCTCTAGGACAGACCTTTCTTCATTGATATTCTCGTGAAATGCAGAAATTGAGCAGTCTGGCTCAACTGTCTCATTTTTACAGTCATCTTCCCCAGCCGGGGAAGGATCTGGCGGGGGAAGCAAACCTCCCCATCCGGGGAGGTTTGCTTCTCAGTCCGGGGAAGATCAAACAGAAACGAATCAAACATATCATAATACATCGTTATTAAAAATAAACTAAAAATTATTCAGTTTCTGAGACATAAAGAAGAAAACAAATCAAATATAAAATAGAGAAATAATTAAAAACACATCCACTGAACGCAAACAAAGGAATGAAAAATAATATAAAAAAAATAATAATAATAATGGGAACGGTTTCTCTTCATGAGTACTCTGTAAAATCAAAGTTGGGGCTTCAAAATCCACTATCTCCTCTTCATAAAAAACGTCATCAACTGGTGATATTTGTTGTTCTGGATGATTATCCAAATCCTTCTGTAGGGCAGAGCCTTCTTCATTAATATTTTTGTGAATAGAAATTGTCTCATTTTGACTGTCATCTTCCCCAGCCGGGGAAGGATCGACAAATCTTTCCCCGGCTGGGGAAGGATCTGGCTGGGGAAGCAAACCTCCCCAGCCGGGGAGGTTTGCTTCTCAGAAGGGGACAAATCCAGAAAAAAAGCATAGAACATATCATTATCGAAGAAGCAAACCTCCCCAGCGGGGAGGTTTGCTTCTCAGTCCGGGGACGATCAAACAAAAACGAATCAAACTCATCATAATGGGGCATTGCTGAGAAGGAAACCTCCCCCCGGGAAGGTTTCCTTCTCAGCCGGGGAAGGATTAAAAAGAAAAGCATCAAACTGGTCATATTCAGAGAAGCAAACCTCCCCAGCCGGGGAGGTTTGCTTCTCTGTAGGGAAGTACTCAAAAGAAAATCGTCAAAATGATCAAATCCAGAAGAGGTGCTCTGGTCCTTCGAGCTACCTCTTTTACCTTCACTAGGTGGAAAGAGCTTGTCAGAAAGTTTCCTGATCCCTGTAGTCATGAAATAATCAACAGTGAAAGCAAGGGGGACACCGACAGCGAGTAAAACATCTGCCATCGTAAAAATCCTTGCAATGAAACTGTGCTGATGTGTGAAGAGCAGGTTGGATATGGACTGATTCTTTGAAACACAGTCATTCATAACCTCAGACGTTCTTTGATCTAGATCCGCATGTCATAGATGAGGTCATAGCTACAATGAGCTCATTGAAGTTCCGGGTGAATGTCTTGCTTCAGCTTGTTGCTATGGAAATGATCAGTTTAGTTCTGCATGACCCAAACTATTAACCCTTTTCAACAGCGTCACTTAATCATTCGAGGCGCCATGGTGGACGTCGGAAGTGAGGAATGAGAGTATTGAACTGAGCGACTGAAATGGATTTCCAAAGTTTTTTGGAGTTGGCGTGTTTTTCTATATTTAAAATATATATATATATGAAAATATATATATTTTATTATATATTTTTTTAATAAGCAGGACTGCAAACATTTCTTCTGGTGGTGAGCATTTTACTGACAGAACAAAATTATTCCTGAAATAAAAATGGGTTTATAATTTTTATAGTTCATGTACTGTACAGGGATCGCGTAAAAATCAGACTTCTTGTTACATTGAGCTTGTGGTCTGTATTTTGAGTGTATAATGAGCCTGACAGCCAATTATTAATTAAGAAGAACCAAATTCACCGTGAGGGCAGAAAAACAGAAAGATTAAACAATCACTTAAACTTTACATTTGGAGTACTTTCAATAGGAACAATAACATCAGAAACATTATAAACACTGTAAAACGCCAAGTCCTACGAAGCATTTTTGTGTAGTTTTTAGTATAAATATCTTAGTACCCTTGAAATTAGACTAAACTAATTTACAAGTTGCTTTTCAACAAGATGTTTAAAGTAAAAATCCTTAAATATTGATTAAAAAGTCCTACTTCCATCCCCCAACGTCACTTGATAATTGTGTTATCGAAAGAGTTTTGGTCGTTCCTTTAGTTAAAATAAAAGTTTAAGATTTTGGACCTGCAGAGAAACGTTTTTTTAGTTTTTTTTTTATATTAGCCTAATGTTTTGCAGATATCCCTCTTCACTTTTTCAGAGCACACCTACTGATCTTAAGAGTCTTACTTTAGGACAAGTTTATGGGTACACTGATTTATAGGTGCCAGTATTCTTAATTTTGGGAGATCATGTGAAGCTGATCTTATTTACCTCAGCACAGGTCTAAAAATAACCACCATCCTTTTTTGAGGTTTTACTGATAGGCTGGGCCACCAGGTCGTGTCGTTCATGTTTGGGGCTTAACAGTAATGACCCAATTTTTGTGACTTTCTTGCTATATTTTCCAACATTTCAGACAAAAAAAATAAATAAAAAAATTGTATTTTTGCTTAGTTTTTTAGTGCAAACATTTTAGTTCACTTCAAATAATACCAAACTAAAAAAAACAACTTTCCAGTAAGATATAAAAGCTTGTTTAGAGTCAATAATTTCTAATGAAGCGACAAAATGTGAAAAAGTTCAACAGGTATGAATGCTTTTGCAAGGCATTGTAAATAAATAAGAGTACCTGATATTGTTGGTCAGAGAAGCAGCGGAAGGGGCAACAGGGGCCCTGAATTTGGATTCTGGAGGCTAATTGTGGGCCGCAGACCTCCAGGAGAGGGGTAAACATGCTCCACCTGACCACACAATCAGGCAACACACAGCAATAAGCAACCTGGCAGAAACACGGTGCAGTACTTCACACGGTGGCACGGCCTGCCCTGATGCTTGGGTAACCAAATTTTCAGCTGTCGTGATTCTGCAGCACAAAAACCATTGTCTGCTCAGGGCCAGAAGATTAGCCAAATCATTCTCTAGGACAGACCTTTCTTCATTGATATTCTCGTGAAATGCAGAAATTGAGCAGTCTGGCTCAACTGTCTCATTTTTACAGTCATCTTCCCCAGCCGGGGAAGGATCTGGTGGGGGAAGCAAACCTCCCCATCCGGGGAGGTTTGCTTCTCAGTCCGGGGAGGATCAAACAGAAACGAATCAAACATATCATAATACGTCGTTATTAAAAATAAACTAAAAATTATTCAGTTTCTGAGACATAAAGAAGAAAACAAATCAAATATAAAATAGAGAAATAATTAAAAACACATCCACTGAAAGCAAACAAAGGAATGAAAAATAATATAAAAAATAATAATAATAATAATGGGAACGGTTTCTCTTCATGAGTACTCTGTAAAATCAAAGTTGGGGCTTCAAAATCCACTATCTCCTCTTCATAAAAAACGTCATCAACTGGTGATATTTGTTGTTCTGGATGATTATCCAAATCCTTCTGTAGGGCAGAGCCTTCTTCATTAATATTTTTGTGAATAGAAATTGTCTCATTTTGACTGTCATCTTCCCAGCCGGGGAAGGATCGACAAGATCTTTCCCCGGCTGGGGAAGGATCTGGCTGGGGAAGCAAACCTCCCCAGCCGGGGAGGTTTGCTTCTCAGAAGGGGACAAATCCAGAAAAAAAGCATAGAACATATCATTATCGAAGAAGCAAACCTCCCCAGCCGGGGAGGTTTGCTTCTCAGTCCGGGGACGATCAAACAAAAACGAATCAAACTCATCATAATGGGGCATTGCTGAGAAGGAAACCTCCCCAGCCGGGAAGGTTTCCTTCTCAGCCGGGGAAGGATTAAAAAGAAAAGCATCAAACTGGTCATATTCAGAGAAGCAAACCTCCCCAGCCGGGAGGTTTGCTTCTCTGTACTGGAAGTACTCAAAAGAAAATCGTCAAAATGATCAAATCCAGAAGAGGTGCTCTGGTCCTTCGAGCTACCTCTTTTACCTTCACTAGGTGGAAAGAGCTTGTCAGAAAGTTTCCTGATCCCTGTAGTCATAAAATAATCAACAGTGAAAGCAAGGGGGACACCGACAGCGAGTAAAACATCTGCCATCGTAAAAATCCTTGCAATGAAACTGTGCTGATGTGTGAAGAGCAGGTTGGATATGGACTGATTCTTTGAAACACAGTCATTCATGACCTCAGACGTTCTTTGATCTAGATCCGCATGTCATAGATGAGGTCATAGCTACAATGAGCTCATTGAAGTTACGGGTGAATGTCTTGCTTCAGCTTGTTGCTATGGAAATGATCAGTTTAGTTCTGCATGACCCAAACTATTAACCCTTTTCAACAGCGTCACTTAATCATTCGAGGCGCCATGGTGGACGTCGGAAGTGAGGAATGAGAGTATTGAACTGAGCGACTGAAATGGATTTCCAAAGTTTTTTGGAGTTGGCGTGTTTTTCTTTATTTAAAATATATATATATATGAAATATATATATTTTATTATATATTTTTTTAATACGCAGGACTGCAAACATTTCTTCTGGTGGTGAGCATTTTACTGACAGAACAAAATTATTCCTGAAATAAAAATGGGTTTATAATTTTTATAATTCATGTACTGTACAGGGAGCGCGCAAAAATCAGACCTCTTGTTACATTGAGCTAGTGGTCTGTATTTTGAGTGTATAATGAGCCTGACAGCCAATTATTAATTAAGAAGAACCAAATTCACCGTGAGGGCAGAAAACAGAAAGATTAAACAATCACTTAAACTTTACATTTGGAGTACTTTCAATAGGAACAATAACATCAGAAACATTATAAACACTGTAAAACGCCAAGTCCTACGAAGCATTTTTGTGTAGTTTTGAGTATAAATATCTTAGTACCCTTGAAATTAGACTAAACTAATTTACAAGTTGCTTTTCAACAAGATGTTTAAAGTAAAAATCCTTAAATATTGATTAAAAAGTCCTACTTCCATCCCCCAACGTCACTTGATAATTGTGTTATCGAAAGAGTTTTGGTCGTTCCTTTAGTTAAAATAAAAGTTTAAGATTTGGGCCTGCAGAGAAACGTTTTTGTTAGTTTTTTTTTATATTAGCCTAATGTTTTGCAGATATCCCTCTTCACTTTTCAGAGCACACCTACTGATCTTAAGAGTCTTACTTTAGGGTACATTTAGGACAATGCCAGTATTCTTAATTTTGGGAGATCATGTGAAACACGGTGCAGTACTTCACACGGTGGCACGGCCTGCCCTGATGCTTGGGTAACCAAATTTTCAGCTGTCGTGATTCTGCAGCACAAAAACCATTGTCTGCTCAGGGCCAGAAGGGCTCAAACTGGGGCACGATTTATTCCCGCACGACTGACAGAATATTTATTTCAAGTCAGTTTCTGGTCACTGGAACCTCTGCCAGGTCAGTCCTAATTAAACTCAACGTTGAAGAGTGCAGATTCACGTAAAGGCAATCCAGAATGCCTCGGGGTTAGATTTAGGCCATAGGAAGTATTTTGGGGCGACTCTTCCCATCACTGAGAGCCCGGAGCATCTCTGTCAGTGTATTTCCATGCAGGCAGCTGCTTTGTGAACTCTTCCAGGTTTAGACTGCAGCTGGGTGGCGTGGAACATTAAAGACTCGTATTGCTATTTACAGAAAGGCCTGAGAATCTAAAGTGGCTCAGTCTGGACAGAGGATGGAGTGACATGGAAAAATGTCCATGTGATAAGCTGTTCAGTTGCTCAGTCTGATACAGTATGGTTTTATTTATACTTAACAAATCCAATTTCCAAGAAAGGTTCTGATGAACAACATCAAAATGGTCCTTTTAATATTTTATTTGATCTTAGATCTCAACTGTTGTACAATCAGACTGAACTTGGTCCAGGTTTTCTATGTACCGTGTATTTTTTTTATAGTTACCAGTTTAGTGTCTATTTGCATTTAATAAGCAGAGTGTAGTTTGTCGCTTAGCTAAAAGAAATGTGGCCCTTTGAACTTAAAAATATTTTCCAGGTGGTTCTGTATGTTATAAAGTGCCTTGTATTGTGCTCTGTAATTTTGATACTCTTACCTGTTCATGGCTTATTCTTTCTCATTTGTTGCATGTACAAAGAGTGGCTCAACAATGACACAAATATTTACCTGGATATTATTATTATCACCCATCAATTTTAAAGTTGGTGCTATTGATGACAGAAAATGTTAAAATCAGTCTGCTCTTGAACATGCTGGACGCTACCGAACGCTGTTTGGTTTATTTTCAAAAATTATTTTGACTTAGACCTACTCTCCCCTACCTGTAGGTCTTGTTATTATGTACTTCAGCCTCATAAATTCAAAAGATACTTACTGTAAATTCTTGAATCATATCACTCATACAATCAACACCAATACAAATACAAGAACAGCAGCGACCACAATGCAAAAAATGCATAAAAGTGTTAAAAAAAAAACCCACAGTAGGTTTGCATATCACCAACATTTCAACAGTTCTGTCAAATGAAAGCGAAAGAGAAAACTTAATGGTAAAAAGTTGTAAAATAAAATATACGACAAATTTGTTCCTGTGAAGGCAAATGTTATAGATCAATGTTTATCATGACTGACCTCTGGCATACAGTGCCAATGAGATGTTTCTTAGGTGAATATGCCCTCATCTCCATCAGGCAGCAGCCCAAGCAGCAGGCATCCACCCTGAGGGGCCTTTCAAAGTAAAAGACCTGCTGCCCCTGATAGTCAAACCCCTGCAGGGAGCAGGCCCGAGCCGGGCCACAGAAATGGAGGCACATACAAGAGCTCTCTGACAGAAGAACAAGGAAAAAGGAGAATACATTAAAATGCGCAACATTTGACTCTACACTTAATATTTTCAATTTGACCACAGCTGAAACCAGTGAGTACCCTCCACAGCCACAAACATCTGTGACTTGCTACTTCCAGTGGTGATGCTGTAAATCTTTCTGGAAACACACTGTGGACCTGCAATGAAAGAGCAAGAGTCACACTTTGACCCAACAAAACACACAAATACACAAAAGCATAGCAAGGGTGCAAGGGGAAAAAAGTATGCCTTCTTTTGGTTTTACATGTCAGGAAATAACAAAAATAACTTGTTCTTAACCTGGTTTTAAACGTTGTTAAGCCAAAATGTACAAAAACAATGTACAGACCACACCAACATTTTATCATTAGTTAAAAAAAACACTTTTATGTGAAACTGTAAAGCCACTCCATGATTAGCTTTGATGTTTTGCTGTATACTAATGATGTATTTAAAAAAAGAACGAAAACAGGGACCTGATAAAGTGTTAAAATGGTTATTTCACCATGACATCACTCACCCCGTATGTCGGGCCTTGCAGTGACATGTATCTGCCTGACTGTCTCTAACACAGACAAAAACTGCAGTCCTGCTTCATCATTAAGGTCCTGCTCCACCTCCTCGGGCGTCTTCGGTGGTGGTGGCTGCATGCACGTTTCCCGTATCCCACCATGAGGCCTGAGATCTGAACTGTGTTTTTTAGATTCCACCTCAGGAAGCACTTGGCGGGACTCGGTGTCTTCCACTTGAGTCTGGCACTCACAGGAAGGCCCGCATCGATTCTTGAAAGCCCTGAAGATGCCCTGGATGTGCTTCTCTCGCTCAAGTGGACCAAAAGGAGGAGGCTGACAGGTCACTGCTGACATGATGTGCACCTGAACATTTCACACACAGCAGGTGTTTAATGTCTGCCCATCTCACACATGTAGGAAATGTGTATAAAAATATTTCCACAGCATAGAAAAGCAAATGTTTTTGTAGACGTTGTTATGTTAAGTTCTGTCAGACAAGACAGAGGGCTTGGTTTGAGCTTTGACTGGGTCATTTTAATAAAATAATTAACATTAATATAAACCATTCTATTGCAAATCTGGTTGTGTATTTAAAGTAGCAGGAAAGTAAACTCAATAACCACAGTCTCAAGGGTTTTGCAGCCTCTAATAGTTTTCTCTTTCAGGGTTATTACATTCATTTATCTTCTCATCACCAGCTTCCTTGACCCTTCAGAAGAGTAGCCTTCCTACAGCATCATGCTGCCACCACCATGTTTATTTGGAGATGATGTGTTCAGTGTTAGTTTCCCACTGCACATACATTGAAGTCTGTTGTTTGCAACAAAAAACATGTGAGTTTGAATGCAAAGTTCTGTCAGAAAAATAATCTCTAAACATCGGACCTTTTAAATTCCTATCCTGCAATAAAAATACGAAGACAACAAATTATTTATTATAGAAAGCCTCACCTTATTCAACATGGCTACATGTTGCAGAAGATTTAGAAACTCTCTTTTCTGACTCAGCGTTTCTCACACGTCTGCTCCCTGGTAGCAATATAAACATCAGTCTTGCCATAGAAGCCAGACTGTGGCTCTTTCTGTATTCACATCACACACTAGCACTCTTCTCTTACTCTGCGGCTCATGGAAAACCCAAATTAAAGTCTTGCTTAACGGTATACTCAACACGTAATGTGATCCCCAACAACGTCACAAAGTTAAACATTGTAATCCTCTTCTAGTTCTATATATCAAGAGTAACAGTAAGAAAAACATCTAATTTGTTCTTACCTGTACCGGTCACCCTTCATGCATCTAGTCAGCTAACTATGAGCTGGAAGCAACCAGGCAAACGTTAAATTTCAGGAGGAGTTCAGCGCCCACCTCATGACCACCTGTGTGTGACTATTTATGTAGCCAATGCCTTGCTTTGTGTGTGTGGATCTCTGGACGTCTCACGCCAACTTAGTCTCCCTGCCGGCTTTCGTTTCCATCTCAACCAGCCGGATCCAGCTTTTGTTGCTCTAGAAAAGCGCCACTCAGCCATGAAATTGAAGTCCGGCTCCCAGAGTTGGGTGGACGGTGCAGTGAGATTGTGTTTCAGGGGGAGGGTGGAGATGTTTCTGCTCTCTTGACCTTGAAGACGATGTTGGACGTTGGATAATAGTTGTGATGAACATTAAAAAAGAACAATATCAAATGCGCAAAGCAGCAGTAAACTGAAAGCCTTGCAGTTGTTTTGGAATGAAGCAGATATTTGTTGCACTTGAACCTCAAAATGCATTTTCCAGTAAACCTGACACAGTCAATGTGATCAACTAGAAGCAGTTTTTTAGACATGCTGTGCTATGAAAAAACGTTTCTTCTTTACAGATGTCTTTTAAATTAGCTTTTATGTCAGAGATAAAAGTTTCAGAGATCTAAAAAAAATTTTTTAATCTAAGAAACATACCGCAGGTAAATAAGAAATGCATTAATCACAACAGTTTATGCCTTAAAGTGTAAAACTGTACTAAATAATAACATTACCACCTTATTATTTTAACTAGTATGATGTTCTTTAACTGTAAAGGAATGCACACCTATTGATAAGTTAAAATACTTATAATAGAAATCGCTGTTAAAAACAAAACAGAAGATTTAGGAAGGGACTGCCCTGCCATGAATCTTATCTTGCTTCAACAACTTCTGGACTAAAAACCAGTATGATAAATAAAAAGTGAAATAAAGCTAAAATAGCATACAGCAATAAGCTATATTATGAGAAGATCATAGCAGAACTGTTTGATATGTTAAATGTGTAACATTTGAAATCATATTTCCCACACGACCTGATTAATGTCTGTTTTGCTCAGAAAAGTCAATTTTATCTTTCACTGAAAGGGTGGAGGTGTCTCTTTGTTGGATCCAGAATGGAGTTTCCAATCAACGTTTTGGGTAAATTAGTTTGAAAGTAGAAATCCTGCATTGTGATTATGTTTCCTGAACATCACCGGTCAGCAGTTTGCAGAAAAAAAACGTATTGCAGAGGGAAAATTTATTAAAAGTGATGTCTTAGGCTTACTTGTTAGTTGTGTTTTATTATTGAAAATATGCTTTAATTCTTATTGTAATAGTAAAATGATTAACATTAGAATAAGAAACTGATATTTCATCTGCATTTATGAGTGTGTTTGATAAACAATAAATAAATAAAAAGGGCCACAGAGTGGTCGCCAGAACAGGTGGAGAGTGGAGTCTAATTACTCCACACACACTCTGTGATGACTGACTGGGGTAAACTGAGGTTACTGTGTGTGTTAGGGATTCTGTGCAAGTCACAGAAATACTCAACATGATAACATATGAATCCCAAGTCAACAGGGCTATAACTAAAGGCAGCTATGACACACATGAGAGGTGCTATACATAACTTGAAGCAGCATAGCAAAGATGTTGGTAATGTTAATGCTGCTGATGATTCTTATCCTACATATAGCTTGGCGATAATGTGTTGTACTGCCTACAGGTTACTTCTGATTTGTAAAAGTAATATAAAGACACCGTACATGTATATGCAACTTGAGCCAGGACGGTGTTTCTGCAGGGTAACAAGCCGGGATTGGCTGCATGGAGATGCAGAGGAGCCTCATGCAGCCCGGGAGCAGGACAGTGTGAGGTTGAACTGCTGCACTGCAGTCCTACAAGGCCGTTGACGCAGAAAGACTTCTGGTGATTATCATTAAAAAAAAAACTTTATTTATTTGAATGTATTTTTATTTGTTTATTGCATATGAACAATGAACAAGAACAGTGAAAGTCATCACACCTTCCTTTCTCACAACCAGAAAATAATGAAACTTTGTGTAAGAAACCCCATGTCAGGTTTCAGGTTCTGCATCGTATTCAGTAGCATACTTTCAAGGATGCAGGCACTGCAGCTCTCCTATGATCCTCATGCAACTTTCAGAGTTCAGTTCGCCTAAGAGGCAGTGATGCTGAAAGCTGTGGTTGTATTTCAAGTGAAAGGCCTTCCTACTTCCTGTTTACTGGTTCAGTCCAGAAGGTTTAATCCTATTCTGTTACATCGGTGTGATTCTCTAATGGAGGGAGATAGTCCTTTGGATCCCCGCCAAACGGTTTGGAAGGAGGCTGGTTGAAGTGGCCCATTAGGAAGATGCCGATCGTGCCGATGAAAAACACCAATGCCATGACAATAAAGCAGACCCTGTCGATCACCCGAGCCACCAGGAACCATTCTTCATTTTCCTAGGACAAAGTCAGATGTTAAATGTTAATGACTTCTCCCCTCAATCAGCACAAACTTGCTTCTTGGGACATAACACTTTGCAGGAGCTTACACTCTGGAAGCTGTTCTGCTGCCTTGCAGTCTCTGCTATGTGTTTGCAGGATTCAACACACTGCCTCAGCTCCGGAGAGGCCTGAGCCAGACTGGCACTAAGCTGCTCTGCTGTGCCTCCGTTCAGCCCACTGTCTAAAAGATGAATCAGTCATGTTACAGTGACACTGCAAGACCCCTTCGGATCAGAGGTTTGCACATGCAGCATTATCATTCTTTATACAGATTATACAACATACAGTTTCAGTGAGTTTAAACATAAATTTGAAAAGCAAGAATTTGCTGATCTCTTAGTTTCAAAGTGATGGCAATCTAAATCACTTGCAAGCTTTTACAACTGTTTGAAATCTGCTTCCTCCACATGTCTTAAATGTAAGCCTTTCCATATTAGATATTTGAGATCTTTGTATGTGGTTTTCTGTGCTGTAACATATGTTCACTTTCAAGCTGTAGCCAGTTAAAATCAAAGAGAAGTTTTTGCACTACTTATCAAATGACTGAAATATGCCTATGCAGAAATTTGTATTTATAATTTTGATGCCGGATTAAAGAAAATTATGTTTAAATAATGTTTACAGAAATTCTAACTTCAAACATTAGTGAAGTTGTGATTTGTGTAAATATTCCAAACTAGAACTAGGATAGAAAAATCATGGTTCAAATAAATCATAAAACCCTAAAATTACGATATCACCACCCATAATAAATATGTACAAACTTCTGATCAGAACTTTGCTTTCACTGTGTGAGGGAAAGCAAATTCAGAAAACCTGAAGATGTCGATGCTTACGAAGCTTTTCTAACACCGACTTCATGAATCCTTTCCTCTCCTTGAGTTTTTCAAACATCAGCTCAGATCGAGCCACTTTGACTAAATATTCCTCTGCCTTGGCGATGAGGGTAACGGAGCTGCGGCGCCGGCTGTGGATTCTGCCTCTGCCAAGAGTTTTTCCGTCAGTAGTTTCAGAGGCTCTTTCACAGTTTGGCGTCCAGGGTTTCATCCTCATCCTGAGGAGTTGAGGCAACACGTTCAGGAAGACCTGAAGTCGAGAAGGAATTGGGGTGAATCTAAAGAAAAAAACACTTGTTGGGGTTCGACGGCATCTGATCTGGAAAAACGTTCTACCTTGCGAACTTTGTCTGTCATTTTGTGAGTGTTTGGGGTTCTTAAGGACACATTGAGGACAATCACACAGTTTATTATTACAACAGTGGTCACTGACATCACAAACATCAGATATCTGCAGTGAAAGATTTTGGAAAAGAGATAAATCACAGTTTTAAGTCAGCAAAAAGGTAGCCAGAAAGGAACTAAAAGTGAAGGACATGGACTTACTTTCCAATAAGAGGCACTGCTTTTGACGTCTCTGGTACTTTCTTCGCGATTAGAAAGAGAAACACGGTTTGGCCCAGAAGAGAGTAAATAGCCATGTTGCACTTCTGGCCACCAGCTGTGAAAATTTTAATCGAATCAATCAGAGTTTCAGCTGAAACCAGAATATTTTTAAAAAAAATTATTTTCAATGTACAGAAACACACTTAACCTTTTTTGCTCACCATCTGACATCAGACTGATTTTATATATTTTTTTGTCTTGGGGTGGAGATAATTAAATTATTTTTAATTTTTTAAATCAAACTTTTGCACTGCATTGGCTGAGAGAGTGTCACTATTCAGAGCAAATGTTGCCTTTTCTTTATGTGGTTTTGCAGTCATTTCCGATGACATAATGAAACTAGTGGCAGCATCATGTTGTGTGGCTTTACTGCTGCAGAACGGACTGATTAAGGTAATTTCTCAAAGTATCAGCCATGAAATTAAAGCTCGGAAGCAAATGGCTCTTTCAAAATGGTAATGGCTCTAAGTGGGTTCTGGTCAGCAAAGTCAATATTTTAGAGTTGATCTCAGTCTTGTGGAAAAATTGTGCTGAAAATGTGTGTGAAAACAATTCTTCAAACTTCAGCCAGTTACACTTTTTCTAGTTGGAGGACGGGCCAAAATGTAGCACATTTTTAGAAGGACAGAAACCTTTGGCAGGTAAAAAGTAAACCAGGAGGCTGAGGGAGGAGAAGAGTACGCAGGGAACAATAATGTTGATGATGTAGAAAACAGGTTTTCTCTGGATGATGAGGAAGAAAACAATCTGCTGGTACTCCAGGTCGTCTTTGGTATACTGTCTGTTGATTATCTTCTTGGCTGGTCTGTGTTTGATTGCCCACTCACCATTCTCTGAAATCATAAGCGTTGATGATTTCAGTTTTCACTGCAAAAACATCAGCTTCTAAATCTTGAACTGTCTTTTTCACAGCTCTTCAAACGCTTGTTAAATAAGTTTCTGTACCTGTAAAAGCTTCTTTATCAATTTCCACCCACTCCAGTGTATAGTTATCTTTCGTTTGGAGCTTCAGTTCAATCTCACTGGCACTGTAAGTCTGGGACCTGAATACAGAGAAGAAAAACATGATTTGACTGCTTATTGAGGAAAATTATAAATACTGTACATGTAGAAAAAACTCCTGCTCCAGATGAGAAATTCTTCAGAAGTTAGTAATGAATTATTTTTATGCCTAAAGAGACTGGATTAGAAATTATATGTTTCAGTGTTTTCATGTTTAAGCTGTCTTTTGAATGTTTTGCAATAGTTAAAATGACCTCAGAATGATGCATTTTCTGAGTATTTTGTGCTTTTCA